GAGCACTCTTGAAGTCTGCATTTCCTAGAACTAAGTGAGATTAAGAATGAACCTCTCTACCCTCATTGAACCCTATTGCATACCCTCAGTTTTGAACCATACAGTAAGTGGATATTTTGCTTTGGTAAAGGTTCTGTTTTGCATAGTTGAAATCTGCTGGAGATTCAGAAATACTAACTAGCTGCATATTTTTCTTGTAAAAATCCTATCAACTGTTTGCAGACAGTCCATGAGTACATAAAGTTATTTTTCATATTGTTTGCCATGGACTGTGCTGTGTAGTCTTTTTGTCTGGAGGCTCATACAGGTAGTTTGAGGACTGAAACGCAATCCAAAAACGGAACCACTGGCACTTTTAGTTTAAAAAACCTGGCACCACTGACTAATTAACTTAATTTTGGACACATTTCTGGTTTGTTCAGTGCCTTGTAAAGATGCAGTCTATTAGCTGTGTAATTTAGACTGTATTTAGTTTGGAGAGCCTATCCAAGAGACCACATTTGATTTTTCAGGATCACCTGCTGAGAACTGCTAGCCCTGGGGGAAGAATGACACAGGAGATGCAGTATTGTATTTCACTGTACTAGTGTGGCACAAAGACAGAGAAACATTGTGTTCCCTATCCATTTTATTCTTCAAAAAATAACTTTGATGGCACACCAGCATATCACTTAGTAGTACATGGACATGTATGTGCACATGAAAAATAATTGGATGGCACGGTGAAGTTTTGCCTGCCCCATCTATCGTGTTCAGGGTTCAGTTCCAACATTGGAAGTCTATCTACGTTGGGTTTGCCTTCTTGTGTTTGTGTGGGTTTTTATGGTGTGCTGCCAAAACATATGCAGTCTGGGTTCGATTGGCTGTTCTAATTTGTTCCATAATTGCTCCAAGCCCTGTGTGGAACTGGTTGGGGGGGAAGTGCTCTGTCAATACCACCTTCTGCTCTGCGCTATCAGAACAGGCTTAAGTTCTCCAAAACCCTTGCCAGCACAAGCATTCTTCTAATGCTGTGAGGGTGAAAATAATTTATTTCAGGTTCATGTGCGGGGAGAGCATATTTTCTCCGCAGGGTTCATGAGAAACTTCTTGGCCCTTTTGTGGGTAAATACCACACCCTTGAATGTAACACCTTCTGTCTTTTTCCTTGATTATTTTATTTTGATTAGATTTGTACTGGCAGCCAAATACAGACCACCCAAATATTCATGTTGTAAACTGACTATGATTTGACTGCCAAGAGCTGACATTGAAGGCAAATTACTCTCCTCCAGTCCAGACCACCAGTCAAACTGTTTCTACAGGGAAAAACTTCAAACTAATTGTCGTACACAGATGAGCATGCCCAAGGAATATCATTTTCAGCAATTATAATATTGTGTGAAATAGATACAACCTTATTTACTCAGGTCTGTTCTTATGCGATTAAGACTACTTCACATTCTATTAAAATATTTTTTTCTCTTTGTACTGTAGATAGCCACTAAATTGGCAGTAAAAGGCAACACAAGACCTGTAATCTCCACCTAAACTGCTAAAAACATTCGAAGGAGTCCTGTACTTAAGATAAATTACTGTATATAAAAAATAAAACTGAAGTTGAGGGTGACTGCTGGTCTTGGGGTTGCTTAGCAACCATCTGTAGTGCGTTATAATCCAGAGAGAGCCAAAAATACAGGGGGAAACCTTGATACACAATGAGCTCAACCAGATCTTGAAGAAATCCAGGCTTCTACAGACTGTTATACGAAATGTTAAAAGTATTTCCTTTTCTGCCAGTAGAAGACATTGGAAATACTATTTGTAGCACACAAAAAAAATGAAAATGCAGTGTAAAGATGAAAATGATAATCAATTATATTGATTAAGATCAGTGTATAGAAAGGTGTTAAATTATACCGACAGTGTGGTGCAACAAGTTGAAACAAGTCTTAAAAGTTACTGAAGTTTTGAAAATAAGTGACATCCCCAGAGACTTGAAACACATTTGACCTTCCCAAATCCGCAAGTGTGGGAGATTTGCAACTTACAGTACAGCTGCTGCTTTGTCTGATTCTTCTTCCTCAAAATTCTCACTTCTGCAAATTTTTGGCGGTTTTTATAAATAACGTTTTATATTTTGAATCTAATGGAAAGCAGAATAATGGAAATTGAACAATGGTTCCCCATTTCCCCAGCAGTCCTCTTATAGTATAGGCCCTACACTATATGTAAAAGTTTTTTAATGGTTTTAATTAAGAAGGGTTAAAGCTCTGCATAGAATGCAGCAAACAATTGGATTTTTTTTTATTAATTTATTTTTCAAAATCCTGTGTGTGTTTATAGTGACAACTAGGAATCCACCATTCGAATTTCAGTGTGATGGGTCTTAGTTTGAGTAGCTGTTCTTTTTAGTTTGTTGTCCCGGGTTTGATGATCTTTGCTGTCCTTCTGTTAAGGGTTGCAGTCGTGTTGCTTTCAGGATATTCTCTCTGCCCTGTGGATTTCCTTCAGCTTAATCAGCTTTGAGATGTGTCTTTTCCTTAGCATCTCCACAGCATCTGCAGCCTGGAAAGAGCCGGACTGGCTGTGGCGGCGAGATTCTGCCTGAAACTGAGCCAAGCACTTGTGTGTGTCCAGTATGTGCGCTCGCGCGCGGGAGAGTATGCGTGTAGGGACTGATTACCAAGGCTCTGTTTTTCAGGACACAGCCTCCCTCGGCTCCCAGAAGGGAGGGGTAACAAAACATGGATGGCTTTACAAAGGCAATATGAACAGCGCAATCAGCGTGACCATGAGGGTAAGTGAGCCAGTGATCTCGGATAAAAGTGAGCCAGCGCGTCCGTGCTGGATGCGGTTTGTTTCACAGCTGGGCCTGGCTGTGTTCCTGTGTGGTATGCCAAGACCATGTTTGTTAGTCTTCACATGCATTGGGGTTATCCTGTTAAGCAGCTGGTGCAAAGAGAAATGATTTCTTTTGCTCAGTCAACTGGCCTTCGTTACTGTTATTTACTCTTTTGTTTGCCATACAGTATGTTCAAGTAACTGTCAGGGAACTACAAACGTCTGTGGTGTCATAGTTCTATAAACAAGTGAGTGTTGTCTCTACTTCATGCAGAAACACAATTCTACGTTGACCTTCTATTGAGATGTAAGCCACTTTGTTTTAAGTTAACTAACTGATAGATTTGCACTTTGTAGTACAAAGAGTGGCCTTTTTGTATCGGTGTGAGCAAATTATGTTAATCACGCAGCGAGCCAGTCAGATCGGATCTTGTAAATGTTTATTTTCATCTTCAACACTCCATCTTGGTCTCTTTGTTTACCTTAATTGTTTTTTTTGAAGACTCTGATCAATGTGAACAAAATTGCAAGCTTTGTTTCTTAGCCTAAGTAAGCTGTATAGTTAAGTCAAAAGTTGGTACAATAGGAGAAAACATTTAGAGCCTTTAAATAAACTCTTGATGCTCAGTGCACAATTTACATCTGACTTGCAATGCCAAATTTTAAATAACAAAGTTGTCTCCTGTAGTTTAGTCTCAATCCTGACATTCCATTCTGTTTTTTGTTCATCCTTAGCTCACCCTTAACATTGATTTTTTAATTTCCACTTTTTTTGCTTCTCAGTCATTCAAAAGAAGATATTTTCACCTAACTCAACTTGGAGATGGATCTTACAACCTGAACTTCTACAAGGATGAGAAACTCGCCAGAGAGCCCAAAGGATCAATATTCTTGGACTCCTGCATGGGTGTTGTTCAGGTAATCTTGCATCCTGTGGCATGAACAGTGGTTATTTAGATGAAAATGTATTTGAACACCAAGAGGGAAACAAAAATATTTAAAGATTAATGTAAGTAAAGGGGGTGACAATTTTAATGACAGCCTGAGTGAAAACTGTCCTTAGACCATTTATACAATGCAAAAAACATGACTTGAATCATTGAGTTTTCTAAAGTCAGTAAACTATGAGACTATATCACAGAAGTAAATGCAAGTCTTCAGCCACGAAGCATTTGGATTCTGTACTGTACTGATGAGCAGGTTTTGTGTAAAACTCTTTCTCAATACGTGTGAGTAACGTGAAAGTCACCTAAACAAGACAGCCTGAGTAACAAACGGACACAGACAGGGGATGACCAAAAGTGAATCAATGCCATTTACTGTATCTATCTAAAGTTTCACAAATTAACAAAGGCTTGTATTGTATGAAAAGTATAAGATCACTCCCTGAGTACAGCACAATCTGCCTTTCATCCCTGACTCGCTGACTGTGGGAGTCTGGGCTTGATGCTTAATGAGCACAGTGAAGCAGATGTGCTGTTTCTGACCTTTCGAACGGTGCTGCATTCTTCAAGCACTTGCTGTGAGCATATCGGTGTAAGAATAATAAGCCTGTGCTGCAGAAGAAACAAACCCTTTGATTAAAGGGGGTGCAGCCTCCTTCCTGGCCAAGTTTTGTCCTGTTGAAGTAACGTCTTAAAGATAACACAAGGTTGGCTTGAATATGTGTGTGAAGGGAACAAAGGCTTTGGTTGTGAAGATTGTGGTCTCCTGTCCTCAGTTGTCTGTTCCAGAATTCTGCTTGCTTAGCCTGTTGCTTTTTTTCAAAAGAGTGACCTGAGTGATTCACTGATCACTGCTTATAATACTTTAAAATGGTCATGGTGGAAGGCCTTGTTTGTTAATTCCAATCCTACAATTTAAATGTTATGATTGTGGAACTTGTTTTCAATCTTAAGTCTCATTTCATAGTTGCAAGTACCAAATCCTGAACTAATGAATAAACAGTCAGTTCATTCTTAGTGCTCTCCACTTATGTTCAAGCATCATGGACTGGTTACATTTAAGAACTTAACATAAAAATGAGAAGAGGGCATTCTGGTAGTTGGTTGCTAATTGATCCACACATCTCATCCAACTGTTTTTAAGATATGCTGAAGTATGGCTTTAATATCCTACCTGGGTAGTTTTACCATTCCTCCACAACATTTTAGACAAAGTGCTTCCTGTTATAAGATTTAAATGCATTTCCACATTGAGGACTTGGAATAATTGCATCAGGACTTCTCACAACATTCTCTTTTTCACAACCAGAAATGTTTTTAGTTTCTTCAGCCTGTCAGTGTAGTTCATTTCCTAAAGCGCAGTAAGGTTGCTCTTCTCTGCACTGCAGCAACATCTTACCTATGTGGTGACCAAAACTATACATATTCCAAAGGGGGCCTTATTTGTGTATTATGGTCTTTAATTTTTGATTCTGCACTTTTAACTACTGTGTATATCCTGACACTATTTAATTGCTAACTCATTGTCTAGTAGTTTAAATTATTTCAACATAAACACATAAATCATTTTCATAAATAGCCTCTCCTAGCTCAGTGTTTGTTATTTCAGATTTATAGTCTGTTTTTGCGACCTCCATGCAAAACATTGCACTTGTCTACCAGTGCATTTGACAGTACGTTCTAGATGGTTTGAATTTTATCTAAATGTTTTTGAATTCATTAGCCACTGCTTCTGCAGTGTTTGCCAATTTTACTAGTTCACTATACCAGAATCTATCAGATGTTGATGTAAATTAGGAAGTGCAGTGGTCTAAGTACAGATCCCTGGGGTACTCCACATTTTGTAGATATAATACCATCTGACATGAACAGGAAATTATCCAGTGTAACATTGTCCTATCATACCATTTGTACATATTGTGAATATCGCTATTCTTCAGTCTTAGCTTTCATGGCAATAGTCATGTTGCACATGTTATGCCTTTCCATGACTTTTCTCTCTCCTGTTGCTGCTTGTGTTTCTTTGCTCCTTTTGCACTGTACTGTTGTACTGTAGTTTAAAAAATGAAAGCAAATGCAATTACAAATCCCAAGAGTTGGCTTGTATAACAAATTGCTTCAAACTAATTACACAATCCTTGGCAGAAGAGTCTCCATAACATAATGAACCTACCATAACACACATAACCCCTTGCTGTTTATGATATTGTTTGAAAGCCCCTCAATTGTACTTGACTAGTGATGGACTTCTAGCCAGCTCCTGGCCTGCAGTTCACCTCTTAAAAATATATTTTTTTTCCTTACGATTTGAGATTTGGTTTTCTAGGAGACCCTTTGTTTTGCTATCATCTCTGTTAGGAAATTGTTTTCCTGGTCTCTTACTCTCACTTTCCATGCCTTCCATCTCTGAGCCAGTACTGTGTATTTTTTTCATGCAATATTCTATAGATTGTTTTTTTTTCTAGAACTGGTCTGTGAAAGGTAAGGTCAACATATTTTGTTGCAGAGTCAGGTTTAACATCAACTGGGAATTAATGAAGGCAAATAAATATTGCGAAAACCGAATAATTAATTGATCTGTAATGTCTGATAACAGTGAAATCAACAAATAGCCTCAAACATTTCAGTAGCTTACATGTTATGGCTTGGATCTAGTTTGCCACATGTAAAGTTTTTATTTTATTTATTTGTATGCTGGTAAACGGGTGGGTGATGTATTTTCATGCTTTGTAGTAGGGCATAGGAGACTTGTGCATGCTTATTAAGCATGGCACTGTTGGACCTACATCAAGAAAGGATTGACAGCACTGATTAGCAGTTGTTTCTCCCAATATATTTGGTGCTGATGTCCATTTACTTTTGATAGCCATTGCAAAATGAAGCCCTTGGGGTATCTGCTGTTTCCTTTGAATCATACTCAGTATGTTTCTTGATTCTAAATATACTTCTTTAACTTGTGTCTTTAACATTTGTGGTACAGTAAAATATGTCTCATTATTTTATTAGAAGCTTTTAGAAACAGATTATGATCAGAAACATTTTTGATTTAAAAATCTATTTTCTCTTATGTATTAAACAGATGACATTGGCAAAGCTTTTCTGGCAATTCTTATTCAATTACTTACAGTATTAACATTCATCATTCCATCATTCTGGGAGGATAGAATTAAGTTGCCTGGGAATGTGGTCGCTTTGGATGTGTCAACTCTTAAAATCCGAAGAATGGGTTGTTGGAAAAAATGCTTTGACTTGGATATTAGCAGCCATATCACCCTGCAACTCACAACTGGCAACCCACTGAAGCTAAGCAGGTGTGAGCCTGGTCAGTACCTGGATGAGAGACCTCCTGGGAAAAACTAAGGTTGCTGCTGGAAGAGGTGTTAGTGGGGCCAGCAGGGGGCGCTCACCCTGCGGTCTGTGGGGGTTCTAATGCCCCAGTATAGCGATGGGGACACTTTACTGTAAACGGGCGCCGTCCTTCGGATGAGACGTAAAACTGAGGTCCTGACTCTCTGTGGTCGTTAAAAATCCCAGGGCGCTTCTCGTAAAGAGTAGGGGTGTAACCCCGGTGTCCTGGCCAAATTTCCAATTGGCCCTTACCAATCATGGCCTCCTAATAATCCCCCTCTATGAATTGGCTACATTACTCTGCTCTGCTCCCCACTGATAGCTGATGGAGATGGAGGGGAGTCCCCATTACCTGTAAAGCGCTTTGAGTGGAGTGTAAGCAATAATAATAATAATATTATTAACTCTTTCTACATTTGCTGTTACAGTAATTCACTGTGGATTGGATTCACAGCTGCATTGCAGAATAATAGGCAATGACAATTTTGGGGTATTCCAATTGTGTGGCAGATGTCAGTCTTTTTTGTGCAGCCTGTGAAGCAGCCTTAAGGCTTAAGCAGCTGATTCAGCTATTCCCTTTAAATGTGCCCAGTTTTTATCCTGGCGGTTGAAAGATCTTTGTCCCTCACATGGAATTATGGCAATCCATTCCCAGCATGTTGTTTCCTTCTCTGTTACATACAACAATGTGTCTTTCCGGTTTATTGTTCCATCTGTAAAGAGATTATAGGAGCACAGACAGAACAGTCCCCTACCTTTTATGTGATTTAAAAAGGACATTTAAAATATTATTGTCCAGTTTTTCCTTCCTTACCTTCCACTTCATGTTATGCACTTCACTGCTTCACTGCACTGTAGTATCACTGCTTTTGTGTGCTGTGTACTCATTTTTGTGTCAGCATTTTGAAAAATCAAAAGACTGAACCACCAATGCAATCCTAGATTGCCCAAGTGGACTTTAAACAATAAAAATGTAGTTTGGGATTTTAAATATCTGGATTTTAAGTGGAACATTGTTGATTAGACTTTAGATTGGCCACCCTGTTTTATTCCCTTGTACCTTGTATGGTCTTTACCATAAATAACTAAAAAATTCTTTCATTTCTTTCTTTGTTTCTGAAGCCTAAAATATGTACTGTATAGCACTGCACCTACAGATTTGTTACAGCTGTAGTGTAATGCTACTACACGTCTTTACACTGCTTGGAATTATTGTGGCAAATAAAACTGTCAGCAGCCCACCATCTAAATGTTTGCTAAAACCCTTTTCCGTTTCTTAAGCTTTAGATGCCAGCCTTCAATTGCTATCTTTCATTTCAGAACAACAAAGTACGGCGCTTTGCCTTCGAGCTGAAGATGCAGGACAAGAGTACATACCTGCTGGCAGCTGACAGTGAAGTGGAGATGGAGGAGTGGATCAGCACCTTGAACAAAATCTTACACAGCAGCTTTGAACTCGCCATGCAGGAGAAGAGGAATGGGGAGACGCACGAAGGTGGGCTCTGATTGTCTTTAGAATTGACCTTGGGTGCTTATTTGGTAAGGGGAGTTTTACCACCCCTGCTGAAAGGGCACGATGTACAGTATACATTGGTTTTAAAAAAAAGAACAGTTTGGACAGTTTAATTTCATTCTGTTTTCACTCTTAACAGCCTGGCAAAGAAACGGAAACATATAGCTTTTTCTCATAATGAACACCATTGCATTTTCAATCCCACATAATTTATCCAGATAATTTGAGAAAAAAATCAGTTTAGTCCCTTCATGAAAAATGGTTATGAAAACCAATCTCGAGTTGTTGTCCTTGGAGTCTCTTTTGTTGTTTATAAATTGTTTATGGAGATGGAGTAATAGATGATCCTGATGTAAATGTATCATACTGTACGGCTTTGCTTTCTAGCTTGTCAGTATTTCTGTGGAACAATGCAGGATCATGTCTATGTGGCATAGGCTTCAGGGAAATGTGAAGCAGTCTGCATTTTGCATGCAGCTGTAGCTTTGGACAGCTTTTGTTGCCCTTAAGCATTGCATACTTAAGACATTGCATTTAGTCTTTTTTATGCCTGGGCACTTTATCAGTTGGGTTTTATGTGGGTTTTGTACAGATGCAACAAGTTTTTCTTTTTAAAAAGATCCTTCTAGAAGACAAAAAGTCTTCTGAATCTCATAAAGTGAATCTTATATGATGGGTGAATTAGCATAGGGGAAAATAGGAAACTTCCAATGTGCTAAAAAAGTGCTGTTAATTACAGCTGAATAGTTTCCACACATCTGTGACCTTGATTTAATAAAGCAAGCCTTTATCTTTTGACTCATTACAGATCACTGTTTTATTACACATTCTGTTTGTACAATGAATCAAGTTGCTGTCTAAAGAAGATTTCTGTGCTAGTCAAGACATTTTTTTTGTCAAGTGAAAGGCTGGACAGGTGAATTTTTAGTTATTGTGGCATGACTATCTGTGGGTCTATAACATTCTCTTATTTAACCCAGTGTAAGGATACTACCATGATTTTTCCATTATGCCTGTATTAGGGAATTAACTCATTTGATATTTTAAGATCTAGATTACTCTAGATCTTAAAATATAACAGAGTTAAACATCAGTATCTGTTGTTTTTCCAGCTGTAAATCTTTCTGTTGACTTAATGCTATCAGAGGTGTTCCAAATGATGACTGTATTCCAAAAACAAAATCAGGTGATCAGTCAGTTTCTACATTTCTATGCAAGATTGTACCTTTACACTTGACAAAAATTCAGGAACAGAATTACACTTTTATTTCCAGGGTCTTATATACAGTAGGTTTAGACCTATTTTAGCATAAAGCAGTCTTTGGGTGTATGTAAGCAGAATACACCAACCAATGGTATTTTTAGGATATAGGATTGAGTATTTAAATTTTCAGATTTGTAATTAGCATTACTTTGTTTTCAGATGATGACCAAGGAAAAGCAGACAGCTCATCAGCGAGTTTGGATAGCTTTCAGGTATGTTTTGCAGTCATGTCCAGAGTGAATTGAACATTCTGCAGAGCTTATTTAGAATGTTGAAGCCTAGAAACAAATGCCATCTGTGAACAGATTTTTTTACAAAATTACAAAGCCGTAACTGAAAGATGGTTTAAAGGTGTATTTTGACTTTTCATTTCAAATTGGTTCACAGATCAGTGTCAAACCATTGCATTTAATAAATTTGGACTAAATGCAATTATGCGTATTAAGCTTGACGATTTAGAGGTTGTTTCTGCAAGTTCTCAAGTTCTGCAAGTTCTCTGTGACGTTCTAAATAAGTGATGGCTTGTATAAATACAAACCATGTTTTTTCCTTGAGATTTTTTCCAAAATTGAGGCATCTATTGTAATTCACTTTCTGAATGTTAAGAATGTTTCTGAAACAATAATTGTGCACCAAGTAGAGCAAAGCACAGTGTATATGAAATATTTTCAGGTACTGTATCTTTAAAGTAAAGGTTACATTTAAGTATACATTTTTCTTGTGCTAATGTTTTTCAGTTTTAAGTTTCATAGGCATTTGAATGAAGGGTAATTAGACCTTGCATTTATGTCATGAACTGACATGATCTGTTTTCAAACCTCAGCATAGTTGGGAGACCACAAATTAAGCTCTTTGACCTGAGCATTGCTGATTTAAATCTTGGTCTTGTCACTAGCTGACTACATTTGAGTTTTACCATTTTGTTTCTTTTTATTCAGAGTGGTAGAGATATTGAGTCTAAAACTCGAAGTGAAACCAGGCTGAAGCTGTTTACCTTGGATCCTGACACACAGGTCAGTGTGTGAAACAATTAGCACTACTTCCCTCTCGAAATACAGTGCATTGGCAGTGTTTTGCACGTAGTTTGATGAGGTTCAAGAGAAAACATTTTGTCTTGCTGTTGGAGAGTTTAGATTAATTAACCAGTCAACTTTATTTCTCTTTAGTTAACGGATATTATTTTGTTCCATTATTATTCAGCTGTTAGAACCCCCACTTGTCTTTGTAGGTGAGTTTAAGTGAGTTTTCTTTGAAAAGAGTTCTGTGGCCTATATTTTCCTGTCAGAGATGTAGGTCTACATTCCGATTGTCAGAAGTAAAAGCTTTGCATTTCCTAGTAGCCATTTACTCCCTTTGTCTATCCACTGATTTTACAGTGGTAGCTTGCTTGCAGTAGATACATACTGTAGGAAGTGAGTGTTTGAAAAACAGGGTTGATTAATAAAAGAACGGGTAATGGGATAAGACTGAAATTTGTGTCTCATCAATTTCAAAATACAATATAATTCAAGAGGTTCTTTGACAAGATATCATCATCGTCTTTTCTGTAGTAAATTATGGTATCATGCTGGGGTATATTCTATCTTTTCTGCTGAGTCTTCTGATAAAATGTGTATTCACTTGGTCTCTACCTCACCATCTCAATCAACGTATAAAACATGGTGTGGCAGAAATTTGGGAAGCTTATTTGCACCAAGGGCTGCCTTCTTTCAAGAAATGGTAAGTTGACCCTTGAACAAGTTCATTATTAACAACCTATCTAGCTAAATGGAAAAAATTGTCTCCTTTTATTTATAACCTTTAAAATACTCTTAAGTGAGAATGCACCATTTGTACGATAGTTTCAATTTTGATAAATGTGTTTATTGATCCATAGATTTTAGTATGGTCCATCATGTCATAAAGCTTTAAAAGCTATCTTCTTAAAAGTACCTTCTTTATTTTATACTTTATTTTCAGAAACTTGACTTCTCAGGAATTGAACCAGACACAAAGCCATTTGAAGAGAAATTTGGAAAGCGGATTTTGGTGAACTGCAATGACCTGTCCTTTAACCTTCAAAGTTGTGTTGCCGAAAATGAAGAGGGACCAACGACAAATGTAGGTTGGAGTGTTGCTGATTTGCTAGGGCATAAATGGTCATATTAATCTCCTGTTTATTTTCTTGAATATGTCTGGGGACAGATGAGTGTCATGGTTTTTTTTTTCCAACTTTTAAATTATAACAGGTAGCTCTGAGCAGAGCAATGTCTGTTTTTCTCTTTTGGTTTCTTTCAAGAAATGGCGGGATAAGATTCTTAATCGATTAACTTCTAAGTGTCGAATGGACTACATGGGATATATTGGTTCCTCTCATTTATAACTTTTCTGAGGTCAACTCGTGGTGGTGAACTTGTGCTTGATGATACACTTGTGAGGCTCCATTTCTGGTCAGAATATTACACTCATATTGTATGGAGAAGGATTCACATTGCCATAGCAACAGTAGCTCATACAGTATCACAGTAATTGTTGTGAGGTTTGTTTCATGTTGCTGCTAAGATACTCTAGTATCATTTGAAATCATATGTCCCCCTATTATCAGCTGAAATGTTAGGATGGCATAAAAATGTCATAATAAAATGGAAATGTCTAGAAGAAATCCATGCTAGGTGTGTATGCTCATGATAATGGGATTTTTTACAAGTGCTGAACATTTTTTTTCTAAGGCAAATATTAATATTGTGATATTGTAATGCCTGAAAAATAATGACGTCTCAAAACTATGGTCTTGCAGTTGATTAATGTATTGATGCATCAGGCTTTCGTTGCCAGTGTGTCACATCCCTGAATAATATGAGAAAGATTTTTTCTGATGCTGTTTTTATAACTTTTACGGTTGAAATGGAATAATTTAATAGAAATTACATATGTAAGATGTTTTTGTGTGCTGTCCAACAGTTTTCTCAGCTTGTTCAGATTCCTCTGCATTAATACAGATTGAAAAAGAGAATATTAAACCACAATAGGTGGCAGCGCACTTTTCAAGACATTCCACTCAAAACCCTTTGCAGGTAATGGTGACTCTTCAATGCGCAGGACTAATCATACATGTACATCAGCTGTCAGTGGGGATGAAAGCAGAGTGATGAAGCCAGTTGATCAACTGAGATTATTAGGAGGCAGTGATTTAAAAAGGCCAGGGGATAATTTTGCCAGGACACCAGGATAACACCCCCACTCTTTTTGAAAAGCACCGTAGGATTTTTAATGACCACAGAGAATCAGGACCTAGGTTTTAGGTCTCATCTGAAGGATGGCACCTTTTTTGCGGTATTGAGTCCCCATCACTATACAGGGGCTTTAAGGAACTACACAGACTGCAGGGTTAGTGATCTCACTAACACCTCTTCCAATAGCAACCTTAGCTTTTCCAGGAGATCTCCCATCTAGGTACTGGCCAGTCCCACAGCTGGTTATCTTCAGTGAGTTGGCAGTTTTGAGTTGCATGGTGAAATAGCTGATCACAATAATTCTAATACTAAACCTACAACTCCAATGTAGCCTCCAGTTAACCTGGAACACTGGAATAATTCATGAGATAGCCCTGCAGAACTTCTTTTCATTTTGTTTTCTTTGCCCCTGTCAGACGATTGCCTGACGATAGCCGGTGTCCATTTTCTTTATGTTTTAGTAAAACGGAAGCATCGTGTTTGTAATTGCTGGTGGCAGGTATTTGATTGTGAGCTTTTTTGTTCTGTAAGCGATTCTTTTCTGTTTTTTTGCTCCTCAGGTGGAACCCTTCTTTGTCACCCTGTCACTTTTTGATGTCCAAAACAGTCGGAAGATCTCTGCAGACTTCCATGTGGATCTGAACCATCCTTCTGTGAGACACATGCTATCCAATCCAAGTTCACAGTACATGAATGGGGGAGGGGAGGCAGTTTTGGGACCTCAAAGAATGTTTAATGGGCTCGCAGAGAGCATGCTACAGTACCCCAAACAGGTGAGGTAACGTACAGTCTGGTACTGTCTCCTATTGTGTGCTGCCTGTTCATCATTTAATTCAAACATCATTGATGGCTTCCACAGGAAGTCGCCTATCATCTTGCAGTTAACAGATAAAAGCCTTTAACTGCTTGGCCTGCTGCCATTCTGGACCTTTTCATGTTAATATGCAAGCCTGAAGCACAGGCTTGGTGCTTTGTAGAAAGCCGATATAACGTGATGTACAGTTGGCTTTGATTTCCCTGCTCTAAATAATCTAGTTTCTTCATCATTAAAAGCATTCCTTTTTACTGTCTGATCTGCGGAAATGAAAGCAATTTGCAGCCGTCCAGCCTGCTTCTTGGCGCATCCCAGCAATCATTCAGAAAGGAGTGCTTGTGTTCTGTGTTTCCAGATCTTTGAATGAATGTACAGTATAAGACCAGGAATGGATATGTGCAAGTTGATTTTCTTTTTCTTGCTATTTAGTGGCACTTGCTATTTAGTAGGGTCATTTCGGCTTTTCTTTCTGAATCCACTGGGAGCAAAAAAAAATGAAAGAAACGGGTCTTTTTGTGGCTGAATGTTTTTTGTGTTGTGTTTTGCGTCTGTAGGGAATATTCTCAGTGACATGCCCTCATCCTGATATATTCCTTGTGGCTCGAATAGAGAAAGTACTTCAAGGAGGCATCACGCATTGTGCCGAGCCGTACATGAAGAGCTCTGACTCAGCTAAGGTACTTGACTGTGCACAGCAAATTTTGAAACGTGCTGTAACCCATTATGTTAAGTGGACAAATAAAAGCATCTGTTCCTTATCCATGGGATACACAAAGAAATTTTATTTTATTGAATGCATGATTCTTAAATGTTTTATTGTTATTAAAATTCTTATGTCTTTGACCAATTCCCACTTCAGGAGATACGCATTACTGTGATTTATTCCAATTCAAAATGTGGATTTGATTCAGTTTTAGGAGGTCCCAATGAAGGATCAGTTATGGAAAAGATAATTTGATGATATGCTCAACTTTCAAATTTGAATGTCCTTCACAACTCTGGATCCACTCAGTGCTTGTGTTCTTTTCTGTCAGGCTGCTCAGAAGGTTCTTAAAAATGCCAAAGTAGCTTGCAGCAGACTGGGACAGTACAGGATGCCATTTGCTTGGGCAGCTAGGTAAGGAATATTCATGCAAGTTTGTAATCGCTGTCAGTAGACATCTGTGAGGAGAGGGCTTTTGAGAAAGCAGAACCGTGACCCTGGAATTTCTCAGGGACAGGGCTGTTTTAATTGGCTTTGATTCTTTTTAGAAATCTCTTTGAGGTTAAAATTGATTTTTTACCAAGGTGACTGGACATAAAGCGGGAACAGGACAGCCGTTGTCAAACAAGCTCAGCAGGATGATTCTCAAAAGCCTTAGCAAAAGTAATCCCAAGGTTAAAGATTAGCCAAAAAAACTACATTGTGAGCTTAAATATCAAGGCTCAGAAATGTTTCCTTTGTCATTATTTCTGATTGAAATACTCTGTTGTGATTCATTAGAATAATGCTCATACAGGTAACCTTATATTGGTAACAAGCCTTCTGACATATAAACAGCTTTGAGTGATGTGACTATCCTGACTAATTTGATTCAAGTTGGCCTTGGATCTTTGACTTGAAAATTGCCATGTAACACAATTGTATTTATAGGAGTGTCATTACTGTTGCAAGCATTACCTGTCTACATCATGCAGTGGAGATGCAATATACTGCATTGGCCCAGATCATACGTTTTTAAAGAGCAAAATAATCCAGTTCTTGTAGAAGTCCTCATTAGTGTCTTATGGCACTTCATTTAAGAGATATGGAGCTGCTGGGTTTCCAGAGCACAGGCCTAATATTCAAATGAGCAACAACCAGCACAAAACCAAGCAAACACAAACTTAGGTGCAACTGGCAGATTAAATTCAGAAATGAGTGATGAGATTGATGTAAGGCTTGTGTGTATTTCAGGGCCACAGAGGCACTGTGGGGAAAACTATCCAGTCCAACTTTACCGGGGTTTCCTGGTTATATTACATCAGAGAGCAGGAATCTGAGATGCAGGTTTTCTTTAGATTATAAAATGAATCTTGTTAGTTTGATGTTTGAAAAGCTGGAAATGCTCCTGAATGCAGCTTGGCCTTCCACAGGGCTGCATTTTAAAGAGGGCTTTAGAGACTGAAATACCCAGAAAGAATGGAAAGCTCTTAACCCTATGGAAAAACAATAATATGAAGAACTAAGCTTTAGAACACATAATTGTTGTCATCTGTCAAAAAAAAAAACACTGCTGTGGAATTTTCCTTGTGCTTTTTATATTAAAATTCAGTTTCTTTTCTTTTGCAGGTCTGTGTTCAAGGATGCATCAGGGACTCTTGACAAAAGTTCCAGATTTTCTGCCATCTATAGGCAGGACAGCAACAAGCTTTCAAATGAAGACATGCTTAAACTGCTTGCAGATTTTAGAAAGTTAGTTTTTTTTAACCTACTATAAATCTATTTCTTGCTCAAATGAACATGCAGTGAGGTGTTTAGTGTTTTGTGTCTGTTCAAAAGTCTAGAATCGCAATTTTGTAAGATTACTGGTTTAGTGGATAAACATCTGTGGTATTCTAAGTTTTCAAGGAGGCCAATTAGCAGAATAGCTAAGGCAGATCATGTCTGTCCCATCAGTTTATTAAACAGAAGACATTTGTAAAACCAGGACACTTCTTGCAACAGGGTGTTAAAACACACCTTATAGTTTTGTGTGGTTAAAAGCAACGGTGTCTTTTTTTTCTTGCCTTGGTATGTCAGTGTAAAACATGCTGAAGATGCTGTTTAACCACGATAGTGCCTGGTCAACCAAAACAAGAAATAAGATGGAGGACTTTATATAAATGGCTGGATTAAATGCAAACAAGAATTTGATGTTACTTTGGCAAGCTGAAGTGAGTTTTGAAGGCAAGGATTAGTCTTTGCAGGTGTAGTGTGTTCAGGCATAGTCATAAGGTGCTATAGCCCCCTTTAGTACAAAATGTCCTGACCTGCATATGAAAATGCAGGGACAGATAACAAGGGTTATACAGTACATGGAAGTGTCACAACCTACAGGACCTAAGCAGAAGAAGCCCTCCAGTCCTTTAAGACAAGATCAATACAGGTTTTATAATTATCTTTCAGTTGACAAGAATCTGATACACTTAAGTATTGTAGCTGAGCAATCATGGTCTTTCACTAGAATGAGAATGTTGCATTCCTCAAGATGTCAGCTTACTTGTCCCTTACACAGAATGATATTTCCAAGTTTTGAGAAAATTAGTGTTTCCACTGTGAAACCCTAGCTCCATTTCTCCATATTCAGTATTTCTTTCTCTAAACATCTAAAGTCTTCTGTTACAATTTCCAGGAGTCAGGAGCCAGTTCTCTGTTTTGCATTACTTCTGAAAGAAAAGATCATACTCTAAGCAGCTGGTGCTTATGTATTTGTTGCCACAGGCCAGAAAAGATGTCCAAGCTGCCTGTCATCTTAGGAAACCTTGACATAACCATTGACAGTGTGGCTCCAGACATAACAAGTAAGTTTTCCAATTCCAGTTCCTATTAAAAACATTTCTGACTCACTTATGAAGAAGCAGCAGCTTTCTCTTATCCTTCCTCTCAGTGTTATTTTTTTGTGCTGTTGATTTTAGATGGTGTTACCTCATCATACATTCCTGTGAAGCCGTTCGAGAACAATGGGAAGGCAAATGTTTTCTTTGAAGTGGAGGAGTTTGTTCCCTGCATCGCAAAATGTTCCCAGCCGTTCACCACGTACAACAACCACCTCTACGTTTACCCCAAGCACTTGAAGTACGACAGCCAGAAGTCTTTTGCAAAGGTGAATCACCGAGGGAGGCAGGAATAACATTTGGCCAAAATACAAACTACCAAGCAGAAAAAAAAGATGAGTTTACAATTTAGAAGGAGTGTAATGGCATGTAGATAATCAAGGAATTTCGTGTTGTTACATGTCAATATTGCAGTGCCAGTTTTTCAGCATATTCACGAGATGTCATTTGTAAATACTTGCCTTAATTGCAGAGTCGTGCGTGAGTTGCATTATTCTGCATGCAGGCGTTTTATTCCAACAGGCATTTCGCAGAGCATGTTGTATGGAGTCACCCCTCTCACAGAGCTAACTGTAGCAGTGAGGTGACATTTTAAAATTCAGAGCTCCAGATTCTTAAGAAGAAATCCAAATTGTTATGGAATACAGCTTTTTGTTCTGCTTTGTTAATATCCTCATCCATCCCCACCAGCAGCTCAGTAGATCACTACGGTAGGATTAAAATATTTTTCCTTCAGCAGTCATAACCGGGTCGCTTCTCTTCCCAGGCGAGAAACATCGCTGTCTGCATCGAGTTTAAGGATTCTGACGAGGAAGACGCTCAAGCCCTGAAGGTTAGTTCAGCGCTTGAACAACGAACAGGAAAGACAAGCCAGTGGAGTAATGAGATTAGGAGATGCTTGAACTTGTTTTATATGATTGAGAAGACCAAGACAGTAGCCTCCAGGAAAATAAAAAAAAAATGACATTTTTCTATCACTCTTCAGTGCATCTACAACAGACCGGGAGGGCCCTTGTTTGTGAAAAACATATTTGCTGCAGTTTTGCACCACCAACAAAACCCCGAGTTTTATGATGAGGTAAGTCAAAGGTTTTGTCAGCAACCTGTTTAATAAACTGGTGGCATATGGTTAGGATAGTTTTTCTTCGAATGGCTTTTCTAAGACATAACAAAGTGGCATGGTCAATGTACGTTACTATCAGTGATTTAAAGTGATAAAAATGTGCTTTAGTGTTGAGAATTAAATATGGTGTCAGTTGACGGTTCCAACAATTGTCTTTACAGTATAATAGACAAACTGTTTACTAAACTTAGTTGGATCTATTCGTTTTATATCTATAAACCTCACAATGTTAAAGCAAGTGAGAACAAACAAAAAGTGCAGCAAAACAACAAGCACAAAATGGTGATGATGTGGTCATGTCTATGTCTGTCCCAAGCTACATTGGTAACTTGGTCTTGTGAAGTCCATAGAGCCATTCTGAAGAGTAAACCTGGAAAAGTGCAATGGAAGGTTCCAGAATTTTATTTTATTTTCTTTTTGGTGAGGGAGGCTGTTTGCTGTTATCTTGTCTGGAATGTGTAGACTAGCTGTTGGTGCAGAATAGAGTAGGGGTCAGGGGTCTGGATTCAAACCTGAAAGGGTTGTGGGGTTTCGTGCTTACTGTGAACACTGCTTTTCTACCCTTTACCTAAGTTGCTCCAGTTTAGCCAGCATTGCTGGGAGTATCTCAGGGGAAAGCTATGGAAATGGAGATGAGCTTCGGCCCGATAAGTCTGAAGACTCATGAACATCAGTTTTAGTCCACAGTCAAAATATACTGTAGTCTAAATTCCTCATTCATCTGATCTTTCTTTCTTGTTCTGTGACCTGCAAATTTTTTGGATGCCTGCAAACATCAATTTCTGCTTCTTTTTTTTCCCACCCAAGATTAAAATCGAGCTCCCCACCCAGCTCCACGAAAAACACCACCTGCTCTTCACGTTCTACCATGTGAGCTGTGACAGCACCAGCAAAGGCAGCACGAAAAAGAAGGATGTGATTGAGACTCAAGGTTAGTCAAGGCTTTAGCTCTGCTAAAAATTGGTAGAAATCAAGCAGATACTGTACCCCTGCTTTTACAAATGTTCATTGTCGTGTTGGTGAACATTACTGACAAAATGTTTCATCTTTATAGACATGAGCAGTCATCCATGAAACTGTAGTTATGATCTTACGTAACTTCTAAATCGTTTGTGTTTTTATTTCAGCAATGTAATACAGCACTTCAAATCCATCAGTTACAGTTTACAATGTCTTTATGCATTAGCTATTAATGTCGATAGAGGCCTTCTGGGCTGCAGGTTCCCTTGCTGTGGTTGTAGCCTAATAGACCTAGCCCATATTTCATTAGAGAGAGGTGAAAATCCTTTTTTATTGGCTTATTACGATTTTAAATCACCTAACCTTGGCTTTGTCATTCTTTACAACAGTTGTTTGCAGAGTGCTTTGGTATACCATGAGGTAGAGGATATTGAAGGTACAGGAGGTACAGGATGAGGTACAGGATATTGATTAGATGTGGCCACTGGATAGTCGTTGCCTTTTATGAATGCAGACCTCCTGCTACTCTTCATTACAATACAAATGTAATTACCTGTGCATTCATTTGTATTCCTTCACCCATATGAAATAATATAACCTTTGTATTGATTTCGTTTTTCATTTTTAGTGGGCTGAGTGAGTTGTCAATACGAATAATGGACAGAAATATACAGTAATCTGTTTCCTAGGGGACAGTCTGAAGGGGAATTGACTAGGCTTTGCAGAGTACTGCATCACAGTTGACGTAGCAGGCGAGTTTGAATTTTAAGCAATCAAAACCCTTTCGGCTGAGTTTTAGAAGGTAAAGGATCATTAAAAAACTCTTTGCACAAAATATTCGGGTAGAGCAAGAAAATCGTCAGAAAGTTTCGTCATTAGGAGCCCATTTGTCCCATTTTACTCATTTAAGGCCTATTTCATGGTTATTTCTAATTTGACCTGCAATGTGTAATCCCAAAATAAGGGGTTTGGCGTAATGAAATGTGATGAATCCGAAAGACTAGCGCACATATGCAGCCACTTAATGAAAAAGTGAAAATACGCTTCCCAAATGTGCTAATTTGCGTAACAATGTACTGTATGTAAAAATGACGTAGGCAGATGTAAGTAATGATGGTAATAATATGCACATGGTATTTACAAAGGCTTTCTAGCTGTACAGTGGAGGTCTGCACGGTTGTAAAGCAGGTGTAATGAACTGAGACCCTCCTTGAAAAGCACTGCCAGGTGGCATGAGAGATTTATCTTAGCAATGAGTCTCTTGTGTGTGGGGAAAAGCACCGTTCTTCCAGCACGCGGGAAGAAAGAACCCAATAGGCCACAATACCAAGAGTGTTATTTCTTTAAATATTTTAAAGAAATGGTTTGCAATTTTAACATGTTTCTTTTATATTCTCCAAAAACCACTAGTTTCCATATGCTGCCTCTCCTAGACTTCCCCACACATTACCGGTCTCTGCCAAGTCCTTTATAAGCAGTATTTACAGGAGCACAGTTATTCTGGTATGAGGGGACAAGAGGGCAGATTCCAGTCAACTTCTCGCAGTTGCGATGCTACTGCACACATTGCCAAGTCCTGACTGTTTTTCTCTCTAACAGTTCATGTTTAAGACTGAAAAGACAGAGACATAAGATTTCAGGATACTTTTTTAGTACAAAATGTCCTGAGAACACAGTATGGAAGAATACGGAACAAGGTACACAGTTATACTGCTGAAGCTGATACCCTGACTTGATACCTCTTTGAAGAAACTCCTGGATGAGAGACTTAGATCAATTAGCTGCATACATCCAAACAAGCTTGATGGACCAAATGCCAAGTTTTTATGTTCATATTACAAAACTCGATCATTCTACTTTAGATTTCTGACGTCTACTTAATCCATATATTCCAGTACGTATTCTGCAAGCTATAGCTCTGTGGTTGTACCATAAAACTGTCCACAAACAGAGGGAGCTGGAGTCTCTGCTTTTTGTATATCTCTTTTGTATTGGTTGGGTTTCTATCACTCGGGTAAGCTTTGGTCTGAAAGAGCACTATACAGTATACTGTACACTATAAATTTTAACACTTTGGAATTACCTGGATTTCTGCATTAATTACTCATAAAAATGTGGTATGATCTTCACAATAATAGATATCCTGTATACAGTCTGCTTAAACTAATAATAACACACAAACAATTGTACTTCTTAGTCTGAACATATCGTTTAAACAGTCACAGTCTAAGTTGGGAAAAAATATATGAGCCTCTAGGCTAATGACTTCTCCAAAAGCTAATTGGAGTCAGGTGTTCCAATCAATGAGATGAGATTGGTGGTTGCGGATTGGAGGTGCCCTGCCCCAGAAAAAAAGGCACACAAAGGTTGATTACTGACAGTCTGCTCTTCCCAAGAAAGAGCTGTTAATGTGAACCATGCCCCGATCAAAAGAACAAATTTGACGTACAGTAAGACATGAAAAATGTGGCAAAAATTGATTATTCTTCTTTTCCTGTCGATTTCTGTAATGTACAGGATTTCATTGTTATCTATATTATTGGATGTTTGGTTACAGGCATTGACACACCCTACGTACCTCCTTCCTTTTTTTATATTGTAAACCACTTTAATTCTCTAAATATTCAAAGGAAAATGAAAATGAATACATGAGTTACTCGTTTTCAAATTTGCTGTTTTGTTTTTTCAGTAAAATCTTACTGTAGCAGCGAGTTTGCTCAGACCTGGCTGTCTGTTAGACTGTTAATTCTTCTGCTGTTTAGTCTATGGTGGGTGAGAAGAATAGGGGTTGTATACAATGTAATGGAAGCCTGTGCCAAGTTGTTGATTTTTATTTTTTGTTTTTGTGAGGCAGGACATTGCTGTTCCTTTCGTGTTGGTGCGTAAATGTATTTGGAAGACTTGCTGTTGATAAGCTGTTATTTCCTTGCTTGCAGTCGGCTTTGGGTGGCTTCCACTGCTGAAAGATGGCAGGGTGATTATGAATGAGCAGCAGATTCTAGTCTCTGCTACTCTTCCAGCCGGATACCTCAGCTGTCAAGAGGCTGGAATAGGGAAGGTAATATCAGTGTCCTTTTCACCCTTAAGAATTTTGAGTGTGTGAAGCCGGAGCTGCAGAATTTAAAAATGCTTAAGAATTGAATGTGTACGTATCTGTAAAAAGCAGAGCTGAAATACATTGTTTTTAAGTGTTTACCTTTATTTGCTTAATTTCAAAGCTATGTGTGTCTGTTTGCAATGTGTTAAGCTCTACAATATTCAAACATCGTAATCTCAAATTAAACTACCAACATCGAACCTTTGTTTCCAATATGTCAGATCAGCACGTTAAATGGAGCCTTTCTGCTATTCTGCATGCTTGCTAAAGATTGGATTAAATCAAACTTTTGCCACCTGGCAATCATAAATTTTACATGTCACTCTTTGGCAGCTGTGTTTGCCAGAGGCTTCTTATGTGAGAGCAGTGGAAAGTGGTCATCAAATTCTGGGTGTGGAATTTGCCTCCTATAGGGAGGTGAAGTTTTTGGATTTAATTAAGGCTTACTATTAAATTAAGGCCTTATTACCTTACTGTAAATTATCTTACCCATTACCTTTTTTCCCATTGTTTTTCAACACCCTAAGTTAGAAAAATCTAACAGACTTGCTAACAATTCTGGCTGGCGATGTTTGAAGATTTTTTTTATTTTGTTTTTTTGTGTGTGTGTGTGCGCCACATAGCATTCAGGTCCTGAAGTTAAATGGGTTGACGGAGGAAAACCTTTGTTCAAAATTGCCACCCACCTGGTCTCCACAGTCTACACTCAGGTCAGTGTCACTGGAAACAAATTCTGTGCAGTTCTCTGTCGTCAGGCTAAACTCCTTTGTTGTAGGCATTTTTATCAAGTTCTAAAGAGCATAGTAAACATTGTCCTGCGTTTGTGTAACAGGATGATGTCAAATAAACAATAATTGGGTCAATAATAATATTCAGTTTCTAAAGACTGTATGCAGACTCTTTCAATAGGACCAACTGCACAGCTTGTTCATTTTGCAACACTTCCAAGGCCTGTCTCCACAGACATCTGTTCTCACTAATTGTTCTTTTCATGTCTCTAGGATCAACATCTGCACAATTTTTTCCATCACTGTCAGAGTGCACAGTCTGTTAACCAGGCTTCTGGGGGAGAGCTGGTCAAATACCTGAAGGTGAGGCAATGAAAGGGTTCCAATCCACCTTTTCTGGGGGGTAGGAGTTGGAAGGACAGGGGTCATTATTCCCTCATGGCAGCACACCCTGGACAGAACCAGCATGAACACAATGGCATAATCTCCCTGGATACAAGAGATACCTGCACCATAAACTTCTGAGCGTTGAAAATTAATTCCATGTTCTGGGCAACCTGAATTTCCACAATAGTACAACTTGTCCTCTGCGGAATCCGAAACTTCACTGAAGGTGGCAGTATTGACAAGTCTGCTTAAATTCAGTCATAATCAATAAATCATTATGATGTTCATCAGGACCTAAGGAGGGCTAAATGGTCTGTTATTGTGTGTAACCTGTCTTCCTTGTCTGAAATGTGTGAGCTTAGAGAATCTGATTTTTTTTTTTACCTTATCAACCTGGCTGGGAAGCCTGTCCCATATACCCTCAACACACCCTTCGGTAAAAATCATGCCCTAAATGGATTTACCTTTATTTTCCAATTGCAGCAGTGGCCATGGTTTCCCTACAGAGTGTGAAATTGTTGGCTGGATTAACCCTATCTATACCCCTGTGGATTTCAGATACCTGAAGTCTCCGTCTCCTTTGTTCTGGTTTTAGAGATCATTCTAGGAAAGAGGAATGGGACTAAAATAGATCTGTCTCAAGCCCTACTCCACCCTAGGTGTTCCTATTAATCTGTATGATTAAACGCTCCATTGTGCACCTTTTTATATATCATACACAGTATAAAGTATACCCATGTGGTACAGTACACCATAAACCTTTCACCAAGAATCTAATCAATTATTCTGGCTGGCCTGACCTGTCAACCCATATATGGGTTATGACCCTTAAAATGATATGTTTGTAAGCCAGTTCTTACTTTCTAAATCCATGCTAGCTGTATCTTGAAATACCATTGTTTTGTTATTATTCTAGTGTTGGTCTCAGTACTGTTTCCATAACATTATGATCTTCATCATTTCAGTGGGGAAAACATAAGTCACATAGGGAAGCCTAAACTCTTAGCTGATTTAATTTCCTTAGGTGAGAACCATAGTACATTTCTTTGGGGGATTAAAATAAATGGCACAAGCAACAGAGGAGCCCCATATCAAAGAGTTAAGGTAAAAGAAAAGGCATTCATTGATTTATACAGCAAAGAAATCAATGTCATGTAATGCTTATGGTTCCAATATTGCAGTTTTGCTGAGTTAAAGTGATATGAAGTGAAAGCAAATGTCACCGGCTTGATCAAACTGCCCTTGCAGTGTTGTTGGAATATTCAAGTCATGCTCCTGTGCCCTCTGCCCGTTTTGCATTGTCACTCACAAGGGCTTTCAGCCGGCTCACCGGCAGGCATGCGGACCTGTGTCTGACCTCCCCCGGCTGGCGGGGTCTCCACACAAGTGCCATCCCATGTGCTGAAGCAGGATGTTGAGAACGTATTCTTTTCTCTGAGCTGTTGCAACTTGAAAGCTTTACATGACATCATTGTTACTGCTGGCATTTTGCAAAAGCTTTGGGATTTAATCTTATTTGTCTTCCAGCTAACATTGATTAACAATGGAAAACAGGGCTGGCAAGCATTTGAAACATTTACTGAAAGTTTTATCAATACCTTTGCTGTAAATTGCTCGTATGTGAGCTGATTTCTTTTTAATAATATATCGTACTAGAAACATCCTCTTTCATTTGCATTTGTTCAAACAATTGACTGACAATGCCTTAAGTGTAATAATATACTGTATTGTGTCCTAGTAGCCCTCTGGCTAGTTTGTTCTGTTCTCTGTTGGTTCTTTGGTTCTACATTTGTTGTTTGTCTTGTCAGCTATCTGTAAAAGATAAAAATAATCTCCCATTACAAAGGGAATGTGTGCTGGGACTCATGGTGCTCTAAAGACCCTTTCTTTCCAACCTAGCTGATTACTTTTATTGATTTTCTTGTTTCCGCACTCAGTCCTTGGTTTAAAAATCAGTTTGAGTGTGTTGTCTGAATAACTCTGTGCATGCTTTATACAATCTATCTTCAGCTAGTTTATTAGGAGTTTACTCCTTTGTTTCTGTCCAGACAGCTCTTAATAAAGTGATCAATTAATGATGAGCAGAGACTGGTAAGAATGACAATATACCAAACACTCCAGCACTGAGGTTTTCTTTTTCCTTCTGAAGAGATCAAGTTAATTACATGTGGGCTGAGCCACCTGAATTAGAGGAGTTCTGAAACATAATCATTGGTACAGGATGGACAATAATGACCAATTCCATTCAGCTTTTTAAGTTGAAGTGAGAGAAGAAATTTGAAATAGGGCTGAAATAAACAATTGAACACAATAATCTTGCAATGAAGTCTTTGTTTAGGTCAATAACCAGTTGGGCTCCACTGGGACCAGGTTTGGAAACCACAGCACTCGAGGTTGTGCAATGCTGACATGATCCTGTCATAACTCATTTCCTCAAAACCAGGCAGTAGAGCATAACTCTGGTCCTCATGAGTCACAGTGTCTTCAGATTTTCGTTCGACCTGGGATCCTAATGTGATTATGGGCATAAGGTTTTCATCTGATAATTTAAAGACGCTTATAAAATCTATTGGACTGTGTCAGCTGTGCAACTGTACTTTAGAAACATGAAATTTTGTTTGCAGTTACACTGTTGAATAAGAACCTTGGTGGAAGAACCAAGAGACCCATCAATCCAATAACTCAGATATATGCCTTTTAACTTAAAGTAGAAATAATGTTTTCACAGCAATGATGTTTTACTTACTATGTATATATTATTCTTTTGATTTACTGTTAGAACTTTCTGAATGGTTTTTTGCTAGTTCACTGAACTCCTGTTGGACTGTGTTGTACAACACCCTATCTTTCTATGCAGAGTTTACATGCCATGGAAGGCCACGTCATGGTCCGATTCCTGCCAACCATCCTGAACCAACTGTTTCGAGTGTTGACGAGAGCCACGCAGGAAGACGTTGCTGTCAATGTCACCAGGCAAGTGACACAGCCTTAAGAACCAGAGGAGGATACAATGCGTTGATGGGAATCAAGCCTGGGCCTCCCGCATGCTACAACTGAACCACTAATACCACATTTTCCTTTTGTTGTTTCTGCTGAGATCTTTAGCTGTTTGCATGCATTCTGTCTCCTGCTGTATCACAATGAGAACCTCCCCTACCAGCTTATAGAAATTAAATGTCTCAAATTTCTCCATCTTGTGTCAAGGGTGTGCATTTTAACATGACACAGTTCCTTTAACAGCAAGGAAAGTATAGGGAACAACTCACTAATTCTCTTTGCATTAGGCTGTTTATTGAACTGTATTTACCAGCAGTCATATCTTCATAGGGTGTATTGAGCTCTGATTCCTCTTGGTTATGAGTAGTTAAGATTACTTAAATTGTGACTTCCAGTAAGTCCTGGCCTATGTATGAAATTACAGAACTATTTGTCTGAACTCGTTCGATTTATCTAAAATCTTTACTACTAAATGCTAGGCTGAATTGGCTTTCAATAATCATTGATGTGGCAAATTTATACTTAATTTATGTAATTAAGTATGGGATAGTTTCATGAATGACTATTTGTATACTGCAGTGAATTAGTAAATGTTTTTTTTCCTACAGATTCAGGTGTCCAGTCAGTTCATTTCTAGTTTTCTCTTCTGTATTGGGGGAAAAAAAACGTTTCGTCACAGCAACCCACAAAGGAGCAAACATTTGAAAACCCTTTAAATTAAATTTAAAGACTAAATAAACTTTGGAAATTACCCTTATTTAGTGTAACAACTGGCAGTTACCTGACCTTCTGAAAACACAATCAAATTTAGGATTACCGTTGGTGAAAAGACGTTTTGCTTGAAAAAGGTGGTAGAAAGACCCAGTAGATTGTTACTTTGAAGTGCTTTAAGTGCTGACAGTTTTTAACTTTAGAACACTAGATTTTAAACTTTCCAGTGCCGCACTTCAGTTGACTCCTGTGCTATGGGTTTGCTTTATTTACATCAATTTCCCTACGGGATTAATAAAGTATTATCTATCTATTTCCAGAGTAATGATTCATATCGTCTCCCAGTGCCATGAGGAAGGATTGGAACACTATCTGCGATCCTATGTAAAGGTAAATGGTGTTGCTGTTACAAATTAGTGATAAAAGAGAAAGTCTTGCTCAGATTATCTAAACAATTATTCTTTTACTTTTTCAAGTATGTTTTTAAGATTGAACCTTGCGCAGCCACCAGTACAAAGACTGTTCATGAGGAACTGGCCAAAGCAATGACTGCAATCCTCAAGCCATCAACTGACTTTCTCACAAGCAACAAACTACTTAAGGTACAGCTTCACTGACATGTTTCCTTGGGTTTGAGGCTGCAGTATTCTCTGCTACTCTTTGAGATGCCAGTGAGGTACAGTACGCTCATTGGCAATCTGTCTTTTTTGAAACTTTGAAAGAGTTGTAGGTATTCCCTTAGGTTAGAAAGAAGGAAATAAAATAATTTGAGGAAAAGGGCAAAGCAGTGCGTTTTGGGTGATGGCAATTTTTAATTTTAATTTAATTTTAATTTAATTTTTGTTTTTGTTTTAAGTATTCCTGGTATTTCTTCGAAGCACTGGTGAAGTCTATGGCCCAGTACCTAATTGAAAGCTCTAAAGTGAAGGTAAGGAGTATTCTTCTGAAGACACCAGTGCAGGCAGCATGTGTTCTCGCAAAACATGAGAGTGGTTACGAAGATTTATGAACTGAATTACAGCATTAGCTTGTTGAAAACCGTCAGTCTTTTGTGATTGCCATGATTAAATCAGTAACCATGCTCTTTGAACTTTCGCACAGCCACATTCGTCCCGCAAAATGGCCCCAAATTATAAAGTGGATTCTCAAGCGCAACCACAAAGTTAGTTAACTGTAAACCATTTCTACTTGTTGTTTGTAGTCTTGGCACTAACATCTATAATCAGAAGCACTATGAAGTCAGTCAGGCAGTTCCTGCTCCAACAATGTGCAAAACAAACTATTGAAAAAGTGAAAGATTCACGTTTATGTGTTTACATTGATCTGCCAGCTTTAATGTAGCTGTAGGGTTAAGGAATATGGCAGCCAACCCCAAGGTCCCCTGAAATAAGTGTAGACATGCAATGGAAAAGATGGGTTGTGCCATAACTCTCTGTTCTCAGTTGTCCAGGAACCAGCGATTCTCGGCCTCCTTCCATCATACAGTGGAAACCCTGGTCAACATGCTGATGCCTCACATTACTCAGAAATATAAAGACAACCTGGATGCAGCCAGGAATGCCAACCACAGCCTCGCAGTCTTCATCAAGGTAGAAGGATGCCCCTGACACATTAATTATGGTTTTCATTCACTCTGACTGGTATCTCCACTGTTCCAAAGAAAGGCAGTTACATTAAAAAGCCTTAAATCCAAGTTTGAATGTGGGAACTTTGCTGAAGTAATTGCTAAGGATTAAATTATCAGTTGTCATAAAGTTTTAAGTATCATTATGTCTGTCTTGCTTTATTACAGCGCTGTTTCACTTTTATGGACAGAGGCTTTGTGTTCAAGCAGATTAACAACTACGTCAATTGCTTTGTTCCGGGAGATCCGAAGGTAGCGTTCATAACTTGCACAATTCTTTTTGTCCCTGTGTTTTTGGTAAATTGACCAGTAATACTGTGCAAGCACTTTGGCTGTTTCACAGTGGGGGGGGTGGGGGGGGAGTGGAGGTGCATTTCCTTTGTTAACCTTCTGTTTCCTGCTAATGAATTGTTTTGATTGTTTTGGTGATGGCCTGTGCTGATTTCCATTGTAATTTTAGTCTCCCCCTGAAACAAAATTCTTTGTAGACTCTCTACGAATTCAAGTTTGAGTTTCTGCGTGTGGTGTGTAACCATGAACACTACGTTCCTCTGAACTTGCCCATGCCGTTTGGGAAGGGAAGAATTCAGAGGTTCCAAGGTAAGGAATCTGTGCATGCTGGGTTCTTCTCCAATAACACACCAATTAGTTGCGCACATTACGGTTTTTATTACATAGTACACTATGTATATTAATGCTCTTTTAAGTCTTTAAGAAAAGAAACCTTTGTAAAAACACAATAATAAATGCAAGTTCCATAATGTTTTAGGTGTGGATTATTGAGCTCTCTAGTTTTAGGATGGTATTCAGAACACAAGGGTGGTAAAATTATCGTGAGAAATTTTGATAGTTCACCTATCTGGCTACATTTAATGTGATGGTTTTTCCCAAACAATTTTACCTGGCAAAAGACTCACTTAGGAGGATGGAGAGTGTTGTGGTCCACACTGAGAGTGAGCTGGCAAGTCTGTCAGAGAAATCCAGACCACTCTCTCACTTTACAGCCAGGTGAACTTATTTAATCATAAAACAGGTGTAGCTGCAAACAACTGAAATTACTTGGCTATTAAATACATGCAAAAACTTAAATCCTTGTGGCGCTAGTACACATTAATTAGGGGTTTTGTTCAGGCTAATATGTTATGTTCAGAGCGGTACTATATTGGCATAAGCAGGCCCAAAGCTAAATAGTCTTTTTTTCTAGTGTATCTTTGTATATCAGCCGTCTGCATGAGCATCCTTAACAGACCATCCGTGATGAACAGTATTGGGTTACCAGAGGCTGCTGTGCTTGACTGCTCTTTCAGGGTTGACATGCACTGCCACCTCTGTGTGAAGGCTGCTCATTGCAGTACGAGAAAGCCTCAATAATATTAAAAAGGTTTTTGTCATGATAAATGATCCTCTTTACATATGAGAGGAACTCAGTATTTGACCCCCTTCCTTAGTTTGAAAAATTGAAATGTCTGGGAACTCGCAGTAGTGTTTCTACAGCTGCCATAGTCGAAATTAAGCTGCTTTGTTTTCATTTTATTCCTCTGTCCTCTTGCTGGTAGAAGTAGATGGCAGCTGGCTGATGCAGCCTTGGCTTTTAGAAACTGTAGACATCTCATATTGCATTGTAGTTGTGTAACAGCTACAGTAACTTATACATGCCTCAGATAAAGCTTAAAAATCTGAAATTAATAATTCTTTTGTTCCAGCAGCCTTATAACCATAGCTTATTTTGTGTTTGTTTCCACTTTTGTTCCCTTTTTTTCTTTTGTAAATTAGCTTTTCTTTCTCCAAACGTGGAGTCACATGATACTCCAGTAGGTAGGTGTGAGGCGTGATGCTTGCATTGTTTGGTGAAAGAATAAAGTGCTGAATAATGGTAATGAGAAATGACAGGCCAAGAAAATGTGCCTTCTAACAAGGTAAAGCAATCAATGCCATGGAAATGTGGGGTGGATGGAGCCTGTGTTTGGCTCAGTTTGTGACCCCTCTTTAAAGATTCAGACAAGCCATAATTTTCTTATGACTGAAAATGATGGGCTGGGTTTCCCCTCATTTTAACCACTGTCTGTATTAATTTCTATCGTAATTAGTTAAACATAAGTGTGTGCTGTAACTGGCTTTTGTATTCAAGATGTACCACCAAAGTGTTTTGGAGGTTGGAGGAACTCGGGAGTTCTGTAGGAATAGGGAATATCCCCCTCTCTTTGTGTGTATCCCAGCAGGCCTGGCTGCAGCAGTTTTTACACTGGCCTTTCAATGTAGACAAATCAGTTCTGGATACCAGCATCCCTGGTCTCTTACAGTGTCTGGGCATAAAGGCTAGGCAATCTTTCATTTCTAGTGCTGACATTAACAGCTCAGCCTGGTATCTTCTTAGCCCCTTGTTCGCTGCACAAACCATCAGATTGAGAGAGCTCTTTTCACTTGGCCTAAAACCAACTTCATTAAAGTGCAATTATCACCTCAGGCCTGACCTGTGGAAACAGAACTGTCCTTACTTTTGGCATTAATTTGGAGATACTGAACAGTGTTCCAACAAGTGATCTTTAAAATCTTGATTTCTTTTCCTTTCAGCATGGAATAAAACTTTACCTGTTTCTTTGCACCCTACGCATGCTAACGCAGCTACCTACTTGAACTTATTAATATACAAGATTCAACTTTTAATTTTAAGTATCTTATTAAGAATTCAGAAAGCTACAGCTATTGTCACACAAGCTGTAGAAACTTTTACTTTCATATTGTTGTTGTAGTAATTGTCTGAAAGAATTAAAATGTATTTTAAGCCAATTACAGCACATATGTTTTTAATTTGCAGAAGTACTGTAAATGCCAACTTACAAGTTGACTGACATTTCAGCAGCCAGTATTTGAAGTGTGATTTGTCATGATTTTACTCTTTTCTACTAACACTTCATGCATTATTAATTTCCTGCAGTTTAAATGAATACCATTCAGTTTGTGAATCATATTTGCTTGTTTGAAGCTTGGCTTATGGTTTCCTGTTTTCTTATGATAGATTTTATTTGTTTTTAATCCTCTTTAAATTTTCGGCACAAAATAGAGACCCTTTTCCTCTGGGTCCTCCTTTCTTCCATTGACTTGCTGTGGAGGTTAATTGACATCTCCCAAGTTCTCCTGTATGTGCATGTGTGTTCCCTACAATCAACTGCCCCCCTCCAGTATAGTCCTGCTTAGTACTCTGTAGTTCTGCAATAGGCTTAGGTTTACCACAAAAGTAGCTTTCTTATATCACATAGTTGGATGGATAATGCCCTCAGTACATTCAATCCAATCTCATTGTGATATGGCTCACCAGTTTAGGATTAAATCTGTGCTAGACTAAACATTGATCATTGTGTTAATAATGATAATAGTGAAACATTATGATATGGCATTAATCAAGTCTCAAATCAAGATAAAACAATTAGGGGCTGTGCTCGCACCACAAATGAAAAGAAGTTTAAAGGTTCCAGATTGTACCAACTTTTAGTTACAAAGCTTTAAGTTTTTTTATTTCCCAGAATTTAATTGGTAGAGGGGGAGAGATGTGTTAGAGACTGCACTGTAATTGCATGTTTAACAATAGACTTTCTGTTTAGTCATTTATTTCTCACATCTAGGTGCAGTTAGGGCACAAGGTGTTTATCCTACATACTGTACATGAGCTATAATGACCAAGGTACAGTTCCCAGAATGGAACACTAGACCTTGACATTAACCCTGTGTGAAAGACTGTATAAAAACTGAAGAACTGAGGAGACAGCAAATCCCTTTTGGCTCTTTATTTGTGAATTTGGATTAGTGCCCGGTGTCTGTCTAAACGCTTTCGGTTTACTGCCATAGTCTGACGCACTCTATTACTCGAATGACATTTGATTATTAAATATCCTCTGTGTCAGAGAAGATGTGTTTATTTTATTTACCAATTGTGTTTTGTTATCACATCGAACTTTCGTTCAGCCAAGACGAGAACTTGCACTGGACTGATTTCTTTGTTTGGACAGAAAACCGTGCCTGAATGTCCTGCTGTACCGACTGTTCAGTGAGCCTTAGTGTTGCCAGAAAGTGATTGATAGCTCTCAGATGTTGTTGCTGTACACGCACTCTTTCACTTATGTCTTTGAGGGCTGGCCATAAGCTAGCTTGCTTAATTTTGCACAAAATCAGTAGTCTTGGAATTTTCAACAAAATGAAAGCAAATATTTCTCCAATTGTAATTACTGTATATGGTTTTGCATTGTCAAATCTTGATACTCTAAACATACTTCCTGAACTATCAAAAATACGAAAAAGAGCTAAATTTACTGTGTTTGCTACTGCAAATCAGCGTTGTATAGTTCTGTCAGGGATCTCTGCTGCTCAGTGGAGCAGCTAACCTTTTTTAATTAAAGGCTAAGATACTGTGTATGGCCTCACTGAGCAATCACCAGTTGTAGTTTAGACCCGTTTTCATCTTTCCATTGTGCTTTTTTTATTTCACTTAGGAAATGTTTGTGTGCATGAACTGTATAAAAGAATTTTCCCAAAGATCTGGGTTTGAGTTATACTGCAAACTAGTATAAGTGTTAAATTTGAATTTCAAGCTGAGAGGAAATATGCAGAACAGGACTGCTTTTGTGATTTTAATTAATGATTTCAGATGAATTATATTGGTTTGTATCCCTTTGAAATTCAATTACTCCACACAACTGGCCTCATTTTACAGTGCCCATAAGGCTGTCATAATATATCTTTTGAGTGCAGGTAGAATCGTGTTTAAAGCTCTGGACTTAGCAGACTGGAGGGTTTTGAGTTCAAATATTGGGTGGGACTCTGCTGATCCTTTAGACACCTTGCTGAATGAGAGTTTATTCTCAGTCAACATATCTGATTAAATAAAGGCTTTATTGTAACAAGAATTTAGTTAGGGAAATCACAACAATTTTCACAGATTTATTGTTATGAGGACTATTATAAACTGCATAGGTACACTTTCACTTTGACTTTGGTAATATTGTCAATAACAATAAACATGAAGAAACAGGCGTTCTTTTGAAGTACAATGTCCACATGCTTTTTCCTTAAAACTTCAAAGTAGCTAGACTGGTCTAGACTGGGAATATCTTGGTAATTATTTGGTAGGAATCTGCTAATAGGTTACTTTATTTTCATGCAGTTATTGTTCATGTACAGTGTGTTCCTGTAATATTCACTGAAGCTTTACTTCACTGCTAAAACTTACAGTATTTGTTTTGATATTTGTAGATACTGCATGCATTTTCCAACAAATTTAGTTTCCAGGCTGTTTATGAACAGGCTTCATGACAATGATGTTTACCCTTTCAAGACACCACAATGTAGATTACACAATGTGGAGTACATGCACAGTGAAAACTCACTGTGTTCATTCTAGCTTTAAGTACATGAAACAATGTAAACCAAATTAATACTATCATCAGAATTTTACTAGGTAATTGTATAGTTGTTATGGAACTGCAGAGTGTTACCTAGTAACCTATACACATCTGTATTTCCTAAGTGAGAATTAATTAAGTCTGTTACCTTCTATTTAGATTGTGGTAATGTAAGCAGGGAAAAGTATGAGGCATGATTTTCAGGCTGTAAAATCTCACAGTGGTAGTTGATGTATGAAGAAATGTTTAATTTTTAATGTTTTTTTAATTTAAAATTTAGTTTTAGTTTGTTTCTATTAAAGAAAAAGGGTAACAAACTCTCTAAACCCTTCATTCTAAAGAAAGTAAAAAAGTATGTTTTGTTCGACATTATTGTAGTAAACATTGCCGTATTCCTAAAACACCATTACAGTTCTGAAGAGCTGTAACAAGAGGCTGAGACAGAGTTCATGTACAGTTTAGACAGCCTGAGAGATTGTGATTTTAATTGCTGTGGTAGGTAACCCTCAATACTTCTCTCTGGACTGTGTCAATCTTGCTGATATTGAAGGAAAAAACATGTACTTGTGGTAAAAAGCAGCCACTTCCACTTTTCTTTCTGATTTCCCCTTTTTTTCCTGGCTTTCCCACTCTTCAGACCTGCAGCTGGATTATTCTTTAACGGATGACTTCTGCAGAAACCATTTCTTGGTCGGCCTTCTGCTGAGAGAAGTGGGGAGTGCTCTCCAGGAGTTCAGAGAAATCCGGCAGATTGCCATCAGTGTGCTCAAGGGCCTCATGATCAAGCACACGTTCGATGACCGATACTCCTCGAAGGTGAGGGAGTACAAGCATTGCGTAAGCGACAGTTGCTCCTTCAAAGTGCCTCCTCTTTGGAAGACGGGGCTCTCAAACGCCTTCGACACTGTTCAGTTTTGGTGCCCATGCTGGAATTATTCTTCCTGCCTTTTTAACCCAGCTCCAGACAGAGTCAGGCCTGATATTTGGAGTTACATTTCATCAATAAGAACCGGGCAGGAATTATAAGCAAGCTAGATCAATATCCTTCTTTATTTGCCACAGTTCAGAATACCAATACTACTACAGTTTGAAAATGCCTCTTGAGTATACAGGTTCCCACTTACTGAATGGCTTTATGTCCCTTTTTATTAAGTAGCACACCCTTAAAGCATTCCGTTATGCCAAGTCAAGTGTTTTTTGGTACTTTTTACACACATTATTTAGTAATTAGCATATGATACTGTGAATCATGAAAGTGAATGTGTTCAACACAAAGAAGAACTTTCTTTACTTGTTTTTTGTTAGAAACCGTGTTCATTAAGGAATGGGTTTTGCTGTTACCTATTATTGTTGTTAATTGTCTTCCTGGTTAAAGGCTAACTTAAAAAAACACATCTGTTCCAGGGTAGCGTCTGTGTGCAGATTTCCTGCAGGAATAATGTAGACACTTGACCACTGCCAGAGGCCGGCCGACTACAACTATGAAGAAACTCTAATTTTCCATCGTGACTGTACCAAGTAAAACTTTACTAAGCTGCATCTGTTACTTGCTTTTTGTCGTTTCAGAGCCAGCAGGCGAGACTAGCCACGCTGTATTTCCCCCTCTTCAGCTTGCTGCAGGAGAATGTACACAGAGTCAACGTGAAAGACGTCTCCCCTTTCGCCATTAACCATTCCAACAATGTACGGCTGCTTGCGCCACCTGCTGGCTGTTGCTTTATACTACAGAGCAGGAATTTTCCAGTTTGAGATTTTCATTTGTGTTCCTGTTGTTGATGATGTATTTGTGCTTGTGTGATTTTAGAATGTGAGAGATGACTCTCTCCTGGGGAGTGCCATGATGACACCTCAGAAGCCAGGGAGCAGTCTGGACAACAGTTTGCATAAGGATGTTTTTGGTGTAATCTCCGGAACAGGTCAGGAAAGCTCTTACTTGGGGATATGTTTACTCAGAGTACTTTTATGGGAAGTTCAAAACAATATTTCAGTATAATAAAACAATAATATTTTCAAAACATTATACTGAACTATGTGGAAGTATTAAAAGTATTAAAAAATATATATGGGAGTTGTGGGAGTATGAAACACAATAACCAGCCGTGTTGTTAAAGTCAATACTTTAGCTTCTGTCAAGAAGCTGGATGAGGTCCTTGGATCAATAAGGTATTACAGTAACTACCAAAAAGACCTGATGGTTTTCACTATATTTGCAGTAATTGACAGTCACTTATAGAAAGTTTATTTGTTATTCTGCCTTTCTCAAAATGGCCTGTTTAAATACCCCCTCTCTCCACCTCTGGAATTTTAATTGGCTAGATAATTCTTAATTTCTCCAACATTTCTGCTCTCTGCTGTGTGTTTGAGCTGCTGACACAAACATGGCCGCCAGAAGAAACCTTTCACAGGGTGCTGCACATGTCCTGTAGGGTTACAGTTTACAGCACGTGCAGATTGAGGTAGATTCGGACTAACAGCCAGCACCCTTTGCTTCTGTAGCGTCTCCACATGCCTCCTCCACTCCGAACATCAACTCCGTGCGTCATGCGGACTCCCGTGGCTCCCTTATCAGCACCGATTCTGGAAGCAGCCTTCAGGAGAAGGGCAGTGACAAGACCAATTCTCTGGATAAGGTAGAGCTTCACGGCCACTGGGCAGTGAATCTGTTCATAGGAGTATGAGTACTGTATGTTAGAGCTTCATTTACCTTCACGTAAGGAGAGTCCTATTACAAAGCACATCACCACTTAACCAATCAAGGGGAATGTGTTAAGGTTAAAGAAATCTGTGTATTTGATAGAGATTGCTTAGGTCATGATCTTTCTTTTGCATCTAAGAATTATTGAGAAAGCTTTGTGCTGTTGAATTTAGATACTTTATTAATCCTGTGAGGGAAATTGCAGTGCAACAGCAGCCAGGCACAGTCAACATGGCACAGTGTAACGAAATGATACAATAATACAACAATACAATACAGTAAGTACAGTCAGTGAGAAGTGCAGTAACAAATGGACTATATGGAATTGCACACAGTACAGAAGATACGAAACAAACCGTAATATAATATACACATCAGTTGTAAACAGAAAAACCAGCTGTAAACAGAGAATTCATGTTTAGTCCAAAAACAAGTCAATGTTGCCCCTGCCCAGACACACAGTGGATGAGTTGTACAACTTATGGCAGAAGGCAAGAATTGACCATCTGTAGCGCTCCCAGTCGCACCGTGGTTGGATCAGCCTATTGTTGAATGTGCTCCTCATTCTGACAAGCATGTCATAGAGGGGATGGGAGACGTTGTCCATGATGCCCATTAATCTGGACACCATTCTCCTCTCAGCTACATTTGGACACCGTTCTTCTCAGCCTTCTCCTCTTAGAATGTTGTGTATGCTTATTTGGCAAAATGCGATGATAAACTTTTTTTGGTTAAAATGAAAAATAACTTCAACATTTGCTGAAAGTGAGAAATATAGCTTCACCTTACTTGAAAGTGCACACAAACCACGGTAAATAGCGAGAGTGCCACAGTAGAGAGCAACTGCAGGTGGTTCCAAGTGCCATAACTCAGGCTTCAAGTACAGTAAGGGTGTCCTCCTGCTGCAGTGTGAATGTGCAGTTTTTGGAGGCACCAGAATGCCGTTTATTAACTACGACTTGTACCATTGACCCACCCATGCCTTCCTGCTGGCAGAGAGAGAAACTATTCCGGAGGCACTCTGCCAACGTGCTGCGCCCCAGCGCAGAGACTGAGGATAGCTCCCACTTGACCCGGAGAAATCGTGCCACCATGGACTTTTCCTTGCTCACAGTCCCCACCCTGCAAGAGAATATCTTGCGTGCCGCCCTTCCTCTCCAAGTACAAGCCCTCTCTGTCTCCCCTCTGCACCCCCTGGAGTGTCCCTTTGGGAGTGACGTGTGTTTCAGTTTGCTGGGGCTTTTCTTTGCCACAGGTGTGCAGCAGATTCCATTAACTGAGCCAGGCTCTTGGCACTTACATTGACGTACCGTACATCGCAAATTACTGGGGAGGATGAGTGTCTACCTTCATCACATCTGCCATTTTGAACTCATGTTGTTCTGGAAGAACATCACAGTCTACATCTACATTGTTTTTTACTGCTACTGTGAATTCCAAAGAATCCCAGACCTGTTGCAAAAAAACACCTAATTTTGCAAACCTTCTGAATTCTATTGCGTTAATAATAAGGAAGTGTGAAACTGAAGGAAGAGGACTTTTTTATGGTTCCCATTCCCATTAATTCCCACCAGTGCAATTTCAGGATGGCTGTACTGCAGTGAGGGGGAAATTAGTTATCTGAAATTATGAATTGATGAGAAATGTAAATTGGAATTGAAGGAGCTGGAATTTGCTAATTCACTCAAGATTAATTAAGAAATTGCAAAATTCAGTTGCCAGTATTGCTCCAATAATAATGACAAAGATGTCACAGTCAATGGAAAATGGCTCATCATAATAAAATATTTTGGTTTAAACGTTTCATTTGACTATCACAATAAAAACCTTTATTAGAGTACTGTATCACAGATTCTTGTGCAAACGATCTGGCTATGAAGCTTGAATATGTCAGCGTGCGTGGCAATAAATTACAGACTGAAACATCTGCACGGTGAAATAAAAATCTTTGCACTAATGCTCATCAAAGACGACAGACGCCAGTAATGACCATAACTACAAATCATTAAGAGAGTGACAAAACAGGTTTTCAATGTAATAGGTTTAGGCCTTTCCCAAAGGAACCTGCTGTCGTACTTTGGCAAAGCCTGTTCTAGAATTGTATTATTCTGTGTGTGGCGTTTTTGTGTTTTTGCTACCTTTGCTGTCTGTAGCGATTTGAATTGTGTGAGGAATAGGGTGTAGCTGGTGAAAGCTGAACTAGCATAGAAGTAAAAAGCTGAGAGATCCCATTAGCCCTGCATTGTAGTGGTCTTTAAGTGTCCCTGGAGCTTCAGAAAGAAGCACATTAATGGTTGTTATTGATGATTCCTATTTTCCACATAATTTAATATTCTACTGTTTCTCACTGTAGAGCCTCCCTTATGTATTTTGCCTAGGTTGGGTTAATACATTAAAAATGGTAGCATTCTATTATTAATGAATAGCCTAGTTTCTGTCTTTTAAAATGAGAAATAGGACATTAAATCATGGCTGTTCTGTTTCTCGTCTAATAAAAGGATTTGAAAAGCTTGAAATCAAAGGGAGTAAATTAAGTTAAGATGAGCCAGGCCCATAATTACATGTAAGCAGCTTAGGTTATGCTGATGATACTTTAATCAGTATGCTTGAAAGTTCTGAAAAAAGCAGACATGCATTTATTAATAATAATTAAATCACTTCTGATAACAGAGATCCCAGTCAGCCCAAGCCCAATTGTAGGAGTATCTTTGCTGTGAGGCATGCCAGTGACTAACACACTCACTCCTTCCCTGTGCTGCTAAGCATCCCTCTTTCTCCCTTTCAGAATCAGCCAGCATCCTCACTGGGGAGCTGCGTCATACGCTGTGACAAGCTGGACCAGGCCGAGATCAAGAGTCTGCTCATGTGCTTTCTCCATGTGCTCAAAAGCATGTCTGAGGGTAGGAAGAGACTGCTACACTGTACAAAAGAGTGCATCAATTTCTGCCTTTTCAGCACCTTGGACTCTGTAGCTTGTCAGCAGATTTAAGATTTTAATCATCCATCCATTTCCTAACCACTTTACCCCTTTTTTGCTGGAGCCTATCCTGGCAAGCAACGGCTGCAAGGCAGGGTACACCCTGCATGGGACACCCGTCCACAGACGAGGATGTGCACACACTCAGACCAGGGTCAATTCTGCCAGAAGTCAGTTCAACTACTAGCGTATCTTAGGACTGTGGGAGAAAATTCACACAAACCTGGGGAGAACATGCAAACTCCACACCCCAGGAATTGAACCCAGGGCCCCAGTGCTGGAAGGGATAAATGCTAACTACTGCACCACTGGTCTGTCTGGATCATAGTCATGCTTTTGAGTAATCATTCAAAAACAGATTAAAATATTATTTTTAGCAGCTCAGAACTATAGATATTTTTCTTTAAATCTGACATTTAAATAACAATATCCTCATGCAGTTCCCAGGATATTAATGTGTTCCTTTTAAAATTTTGTATATTACATACTATGTATATTTTGTATATTATGTTCTGACTGAGTCTGTAGTACTTCTGTTTTGCTTGAACAAAATGTTTTAACACTGCAGTGCTGCAATGCTGTGTAGTTTGAATTCACACACATTCACTCTTTTCTAGATGCCCTGTTCACTTATTGGAATAAGGCTTCTTCAACGGAGCTGATGGATTTTTTCACACTCGTAGAGTAAGTTATTGTCTGACAAATACACTGCTAATTTTTATATTCCGTTTTGACATATCAGCACATGCTGCCTACCTTCACTCCTACAGAGCTGACTGCTTGGGTTCAGGAAACTTGATAAAGCAATGTGTTGACCTCTCGTACTGCATCCTGATAGCATCATCTAGTACCTGGTCAATTCAGAAAAAACGAACAATCATAGTGTTTAACACTTCTATTGCACAAAGACTGGTCTTTCACCTGGGTTTAAAGCAATACAGAGCCCTGTGACATTACAATGGGCAGGCTTAATGGAGACAGTGCCCCTGAAGCACAAGACCCTGCAACACTACCTGAGATCTTGTGCGTCTAATGCAGACAGTGCAGAAAGCTGGATCTTTATTTTGAGGGTGTGGAAGTGTTGTGGGAGAGAAAAATGTGACTCTTACGTGTGAAGAGCAGCAACAGTGTATCTCACAGAGTACAGAATACAATAAGAACTGAAGCAGCTGAAAAATGAAGGTGAGATTAGTTACTTCTTGAAGCTATTAAATATGAGATGCCTTTCACTACCAGGGCTTAAATTGGGATACCATGACAAAGATGGAAAAATCACATTAAGTATTAGCCTTGGGAGAAAGTAATATAACATGGATAGGAAAATCTTCTCACATTAAGATTAAGTGAAAGAACAATAATTTGTTTCGCATGCAGTTGAGGGAAAAGTTAAGAGTTTTGTTTTCAGCCCAAAAGTCAATTGTAAGACCCAGATTTCAGATAATGTAACCATGATGTAAAATGTGCTGATATGCGTAATATAATACGGTATGTAATATATGGTTTGTATTGTACTGTACTTATATTTAGAATTGAGCTGCAATGGCACTGTATTGCCCTTGGAAATCCTTCTTTCTGTTATTAAGTAGCCAAGGTTTCAGATTGGGTTTTGGCTCCTGCTCATCTTTTTCAAAATAAGTCATTATCTTTCTGGTCTTCCGTTTCTCTTTGTCCAGAGTGTGTCTTCATCAGTTCAGATACATGGGAAAGCGATACATTGCAAGGTAAGGTTTGTAGTTTCCTTAGCTCCCTCTGCAGAACTGTTTTTTTTGTGAAATCAAAAAATATATATTTTTCTCATTCACTGTTCTTTTGCACATAATTAAGGACAATTAAAGCAGCTCTAACTGTTGTGATTATTCCATATTTATCTGTTTTGCTAAAGTTTTGTTTTATTTCACTTGTCACAATCAGTTGACTTTACCATTACTCAGTTTGTGAATGTACAGTCTGAAGGTGATTCAGCTGCATATAGAACCTTGTACATGTTAAGGGTCATAAATGTAGCATTGTAGGTTTGGTTTCTTATTTGTGTTCTTTGCTGAACTGTTAATTGACGACTTAGTCATAGAAGAATACAAACAACTTTTAAGCCATGCAGCAAATTGCGAGTTTCAAAGCCATTTTATGATGTATCTCTTCTAATCAAGAGATTTGAGTTGTGTTAGACATATGAGAGTTTGAAGTTACAAATTACAGATCTTCAAAAAAACCTGGGCTGTGATGCTTCAGGAAGCCACAAAATCAGTGTACATACTGTACCATACGCTCTAACGTGTGTTTTAACGTGTAAAATTGGGAGTCCCAAAAGCCCATTGATATTTGCGCAGCTTATAAAAGTAAGATTTCCAAAAATATAAAAAAGTTTGAGGTTCCTCACAATAAAGTGGGGTGGAATAACTCATTCCCTTTTGTCCACATTCTCAAATAACTCCCTACAGTTTTTAACGGTTTTGTCTGTTCCTATTTCTTCTGGGTTTGTTTGCGTCTTGCCTTGATTGTGTTAATAATACTGTTCACATAATCACCTTTGACGCACCTCATGCGCTTCCTCTGAGTCATTCTGGAGAGGGTACACTGTGGGATCCAGTTCACAGCCCTTTCTAACACGCCTTCACTTTTTCTGTTTTTCGTACTTGAATGCTGACAAGTTTAACTATGTAATGGCTCCTGTCCCCTCCTGCTTGGGTAAGACCAAGGTGTTAGTGTTGTTTTGCACAGACGCATGTTTCTCCATTTTTCCTCCGTCTTGGATGGCCTGGTCATATTTCACACTGCGTTTCATGTTTCAGTCTTTTGCTTGTGGATTTCCTCATTTTTTCCATCACAGGCGTTTAGTTGTGGCTACTTGCATGTTGCAAAATTTGGACATTTCTATGCTGCGTTGCCTAAAAGAATATAAACTTTTGTGTGCACGCTCCATTTCGAAGCTGCATTGTCTTTCCTTTCTGTGTGGCTGTGCATGACTTGGATGTGTTGTTTGCTGTGTGTTATATGGACTCCTGCAAAAACCATAAGGAATGGCCACACGACGGGGGCAGATCTATCCAAAACTACTGTGTGTGTCATTTAGGGGGGGAAAAGAACCTATACCTGCATATGCATTTGTAAACCTTTTGAGAAATATAATTGATGCTGTAACAGTCAAGATGTAACAAAATAGACTGTGGAAATGTAGATCTTTCACATAAAGACAGCCTGCTTACTAACTCTCTGCTTGGCTGCTTGGTGGCCATGTCTAACATTGCTGTATATCCCATTTCCTCATTAGGAACCAGGAGGGGGTGGGACCTGTAGCACATGAACGGAAATCTCAGACTTTGCCTGTGTCCCGTAACAGAGCAGGAATGATGCATGCCAGATTACAGCAGCTCAGCAGCCTGGATAATTCGTACACTTTTAACCACAGTAAGTCCAGCAACCTCCAGACATAAATCCTCTCTGCCTCTTCCTCTTCCATTGTTTGCCTCATCATCATCTCCTCATAATATCCTCATCATCGCCAGGGACAATCTCCAGTATACCCTTCCCAGAAGCCCCGCAGAGCAGGTCAATCATGGTCATTGCCTCACCTGCAATGAGTCACATGCGTCCTTTGCAGATCTTGGTTATCTGAAAAGATTACTATTGCTGTGTTCCATGTAAGGTACATTGTCAGGTGAATTGGGCTGTATTTTGTCTGATTTTGTGTTGGTTGTTTTGCCTGCCACAGGTGATTTCACATTTGGTAACTACCAGTGAACAAACAGAGTTCTGTCTGGCATTTGTAAAGGTGGCTGTATGGAAAGAGCAGTGATTGTAAAAGGCATCAGGTCATTTTAAGTTTTTTCGCTAGAGTGTTAAAGGCTCCATACATAAACAACCAAACACAAACATGGGAGGGAAATTGTACTCACCTTAACATCTTTTCAAATAACCAAAGTCCACAGTGAATCGGCCACTGAGACAGTTGTTGCCATTGAGACCAGTTTAATATGCTATGTGTTAATTTCTATTATAAAGGGGGAAAAGTGTTCCATTTATTGGTAAGTCTAAGAAAATTATTTTTTTCTCTTAATGAAGTGACTTTTTCTGTGTTTTCAGTGTAAGAAAGATATCAAGTGTACTTGGAATTTCTGTAGATCATGGTAAGAATTAATCAGGTTGGCAGCCAGCTTGCACAATTTTCACCAGCCTTCAGCAGATGGTGCTGTTGTCATAAGAGCATGCCATTTCAGTTGGGAATGTTCCTTTTCCCTGTTTCCTGCCCTGTCGCCATTTCCTTCTGCCCCTTACATGTTTTTACTGCATTTTAATAGCTTAATTTTTCACTATTTGAGACTCTTATTTGAATGTTAACCCTGTGATCATGATACTGTAGTTGCTGCTGCATTTATTCCAACTGTAAAATAAAACCAGATTTTCTACTTTACATGTACAGCTGCGCTTTACAGAAATGACAGATTTGCCATTTTCAGTAGAAGGAGAGATGATGCTACAGTGCTGTCATGTCTTCCTTATAGGCTACACCCATTCAGATGCTGACGTGTTGAACCAGTCTCTGCTGGAAGCAAATATTGCGACAGAAGTGTGCCTTACTGTGCTGGATACACTGAGCATTTTCATCATGGGGTTCAAGGTAGACCAAGGGCTACCTTTCTTTGTGTAACACGTTTCATAATGGAAATTCCCAATAGGTCTTAGCTGACTAACACAGCAATAGCACAGTTGTGGTTTGTATGAATTCCATTGGCAATGTCATAGAAAATCCCTGTTTGTCAACTCTGTTTTAAAAACTGTAACCCTGATCCTAGTCATAATCCTAATCCCTGTTGTGATGCAAACACAATAACCCTAAAACAAGCAAAAAGCAGTAACACACAAAAGGCTGCCAATGGCTTTCAGTCAGAGCACACTATGAATTTGTGCTAAAGCCATTCTTTCAATGAAGCTCTTTACATAATGCTCATAAGCAGACCTTAATTTTTTTTTAAGGATAAATAAGTTAAGAGCATAAGAAAGGTTACATTTGATGGTTAGCTGTTTATTGATCCAAGGATATTATCCAGCTGTATCTTGAAGGATGTCAAAGTATCGACAAACACATGGCTGGCTAGCTTGTTTCAGACTCCTACGACCCTTTGGATAAATAAATGCCTCACTTCCTAAAGTGTTGTAGTTTCACTATCATATAGTTTTGTGTGGTTTCTGCTTGTGTTTTCTAGTTCATTTGTCAGATGTGAATACAACTTTTTTGCTCACATTACTATGATTTATGTAGTTTAGCAATGTAGTACTGTCTTGTCTTTTCTAATTTTTCTCTGAAGTGAAGAATACAATTGCATTTGAGTGCTTTTGCCCGCCCTCACAGACTCAGTTGTGTGCAGACCATGGCCATAATCCGCTGATGAAGAAGGTGTTTGAGGTCCTTCTTTGCTTCCTTCAAATCAATCAGTCTGAAGCCGCTCTGAAACAAGTCTTTACTTCACTGCGAACTTTCATTTACAAGGTGAGTGCTGAGTGACTGTTCAGTCCAAGTGACAGGTATGAAATAAGAGGAGTTGAAACATTTTTTACCAATACAAGTGATGTGCTGGGAGCAATGAGGTCATCTTTCTCTGTACCTACAGTTTCCATGCACATTTTTCGATGGCCGGGCGGACATGTGCGCTTCCTTCTGCTATGAGATCCTGAAATGCTGTAACTCCAAGCTCAGCTCCATCCGCAGTGACGCAGCCCATCTCCTCTATTTTCTCATGAAGAGCAACTTCGATTACACAGGACGGAAATCTTTTGTCCGGACACACCTCCAGGTTAGTTAATTCCAGTGTCAATACAATTATCTGTACATGTGTAGGTATATAAGAGGGCAGGTCCTGAATATTTTTGCTGGTATATAATCGTATAGTGCAAAATTATGTATTGGTACTTTGATGTGATCTAAGAGTAATTAACTTAGCAGAAGAAATGAAGTGCACTGTAGTATGTCCTCTTCTCCAGAGATCAAGCAGTCAGTCAAATTCTAGAAGTAAAATAAGTTTGTGGTCAAGTCAGGAGAGCACACTGAAGATGCAGTGCTTTCTAACCCTGTGGGTTTTTTTTTTGTCCAGTCTGATCCGTGCTGGCCGACCATAATAGTTTGGCCTGTTCCCCTTTTCCAGGTGGTGATTGCCGTGAGCCAGCTGATTGCCGATGTGATTGGAATAGGGGGCACCCGTTTTCAGCAGTCCCTCTCCATTATCAACAACTGTGCCAACAGCGACAAAACTGTTAAGGTCAGTGACTGCTGGGGCCACAGTGATTACAAAAAGCAAAACGCTTCTATCTGGCGTAGGATCGAGTTTCTTTTGCCAATTCCCTAGCAATACCAACAGCTTTTCCTCCCCCTGTGCAAAGTGACTGTACAATATTTTTATTTCTCCCGAAACAACGCAGAACACAGCATTCCCCTGGGACGTGAAGGACCTGACGAAGCGAATCCGCACGGTGCTGATGGCCACGGCTCAGATGAAGGAGCACGAGAAGGACCCTGAGATGCTGGTGGACCTCCAGTACAGTCTGGCCAAATCCTACGCCAGCACTCCAGAGCTTAGGAAAACCTGGCTGGACAGTATGGCCAGGATCCACGTCAAGAATGGAGATCTTTCAGAGGTCTGTGAGCTGCGCAGTCTCCAGCATGCAAACATGTGCCACAGCTGCAGTGACTGCATAGTCAGCCCCCCAGGCTTTCTGCTGTAAAAATTAAATGAAAGCAAAGAAATCCATCTTTCAGTAGCTTTGTTCCCCTTGTTCTTCAATGGTTTAGATCTTGGTAATGATTTAATTTTATAAAAGGGGGGTTAGATCTGCGGGGCTTAGCAGCTTTGTTGTAGAAACATTTTGGAAAAGGTGTTTGGAAAATAAACAAGTGGAAAAAGTGCTTGTTACATAAAAACAGAGCAAACATTTTTTTCCTGTTGTGTAACTTATTGTGGTAGAAGGTGTTACTTTTGCTTGACTGTACAGTATTTACTGAGAGGTTCTCATTTTTGAATATTTTCTTTCTATTTGTGTTTGTAGGCAGCTATGTGTTATATCCATGTGGCAGCACTGGTTGCTGAATACCTCAGGAGAAAAGGTGTGTACTCTCTTCCACCACCTCCAGTACTCTAGATATCGCAGAACACCCTAGATTTGAGTGCTCCATTCTTTCAAGATCCTTTATTTTAGTTCTTCTGTCTGGGACATCTCAGTGTTGCAGCTGTTAGCATTGCTTGCTTCTCAGTGCTGGGGCCCAGGGTTCATCTCCTGTATCTGCATGGAGTTTGTATGTTCTTGCCATGTTTCGGTGGGATTCTTCCCACGTCCAAAGGCACATTTGTCAGTTAATAGGCTGCTGGGAAAACTGCCCCAAGTGTCAGTGTGTCTGCCCTGCGATGGACTGACGTCACCGTCCAGGGTGTACCCTACCTTGCAACCATTGCTTGCTGGGATAGGCCCCGACTCCACATTGCTTGCAGGGATAGGTGACCCTGAATTAGAAGAAGCACTTAGAAAATGGACAGACTTTGATGTGGATTATTAAAATTAGTTCAGGTGGGTAGCTGCGTCAGCATGCGTAGGCTGCAAAGGAACAAGTAATAGGTTTATTCCATGCTGAAAAAACAAGAAAGAAAACACAACGCTTCGGCCGTGGAGCCTTCTTCAGGTGTCAGCCATTATTAAAATTATATTTTTAGTCCTGAAAAAAGAAATGCCAGACGTTTAATCCTGGTACTTTTGTTTTTAACCTTAGTCCCTGTCCACTAATAATGAGTGTTTTTCACACAGAATATCACTGAACAAATGAAAATATATCCATTGAAAAAAATGGATATCCAATTAACTTGAATGATTTTAAAATATATTAACAAAGAACATTGCTTCAATACTGACAGGTTTGTCACATACTCTTAATTTCCAAGAGTGACATTCATTTTTTCTATTTTCCACTTATAAAATTATCATCCAAAGGGAGTTTCTGATTAGGTAGCTTTAATGAATAATAAACTACCAAGGAGAAAATTTGCTCTTTTCTCCACTGTTATGTGTAAACTGTTTGGGGATTTTGGCAAAAATGGCAAAAGAAATTGATCATTTTTACCGGTACATAAGTAAGATTTATGGCATGCCATGCTTTTTTAAAAACATTATAAAACACTGATTCAGGCTGTATGTATCAAATGAATCATTACCAGATTTACATGGATGGGCTGGTGCAGTGTTTTTTCTGTTGGTTCTATAGTTTGATGTGCTGTTATTTCTGTACGGATACTGTACAAAGGATTTTCATTGGGCTTTATTGAACTTTTATGTTGAGCTGGCACAGTTGAGATTGAAAGCCACAGATGAGTGGATTTCCGATCATTTCTGTTTCCCCAGAGCTTGGCAGCCGTCTCAGAATCGAGGTTTTGGTCATCCAAGGTGACTTTTTGCCACTCTGACTTTCACATGCTTGCTTTCGTGGTGTCTTGTGCATCCGTGTTACAGGTTGCGGATTAGACAGTATTATACAAAGTCTTCTAGCTGTCATCCTGTTAAAGGCTTTAAATCTCATCTGTCATTGGCTCAAATCAACACTGGTGCATGGGTAGCTTTGGACGTCTTTGCTCTTTTCACTGTTCTGAGAAAAAAAGTTCAGATTGACATTACATCACAAAACTCAATCATATCTTTAGAATACCTACAGCCTTCAAATAAATCAATAAAGAGATAGGAGGATTAGCACTGCCTGAATCAGCATAGTGCCACTTTAACAAAAGATATTGCTTTACTGCTTTGGGCATCAGGGTTATTAGCTTCTGCCTCAGAGCTCCAGGCTCTGAAATTTGATTCTAGGTTTTGGGCAACCTGTTTATGTGTAGTTTGCCTATACTCCCTGTATTCTCATAGGACCATATGTTTTGACAGGTCTTGTGGTTTCCTCCCACAGTTATGCAGGTTAGGTTGGACTGGCTACTCTTTTTTATGCATTTGTTTCTATTAAGCTCAATATTCAGTGGGATTTTAAAAATATAACCATAACGAACACAATGTTCCAAATGTCCTCCTTTCATTTGTGGCCTTTCTGACGTTTTGACATTCTCCCCGCACTCACAGGAATGTTCAAGCAGGGCTGCTCAGCCTTCCGAGTGGTCACACCTAATATAGAGGAAGAGGCCTCCATGATGGAGGATGTGGGCATGCAGGATGTTCATTTCAACGAGGTGAGAGCTCCAGGCCTTTTTTGTAATACAGTGACTTTCAATAATTATTTTCTGTTGCAAATGTGCCAATCCTATTCCATGTTTCAGAGCTCTATAAATGTTACACATAATTACACATAATATATACTGTATATAGCAATTCAAAGCACTTAAAGTGATTTATGTATCACAGTTGACTCACTGTGTTCATCACTGAATCTTAGCACTTTCCTGCGTAACATGTGACAGCCATTATGAGCCAAAAACCCCTCTGCACAGCAGATTAAATGAAGTGAGAAAGTGATATAAGAACCAGGAAGTTAGCAACATGTAATCCAACCAACACCTTTTACAGCTCAATTTCTCTCATCAGCAGAGTGAGGTATTGGTTTAGAAGTTCTTATCCAAACAGAAGAATGCCACCTACTGGTCCACCAGCACCTGGTACTGCAGGAACCCGGTTTCCCTTGGAGTTCTCCCTTCTCAGTACTGGCCAGGCCCAGTCAGCCAGCCTTGCATAGCTTCTGAGATCTGGTAACATCTGGTGACATCTGGCTACAAGGTGGCAGGGCTGCTAACCTTGCTAACAAGCACATCATTGGCTAGTTTTCTAAAACCACATTTAACAGACAGGAAAATCATTTTGTTCCTCTTTTCCATAGAAATAAGATAGTTCCTATGCAAACAGTTTTTGTTTGAAGCCTTTGATTTTGGCTTATGAACTATTTGTTGTTTTTCCCCAAAGCAGAACATTTATTCAAATAGTTTCTAAAACAACTGTTGATTTTCTATATATTGTACCGTATATATTTGTTAAATGTATGAAAATAAGAAAATGGGGCATCTCCCTAAAGATTTTGCAGCAGTGTACAACATGCTACATTTGTTTCAATTTAAAAAGTGATCAATTTTTCATTTTTCTTTAACCTACATACAATAGACCTTGCTAGATTTTTAGAATTGTTTCTTCAAGATGAGGAGAAAACAACATCAGGATTGGCATCCTGCAACTTATAAATGAGGAAAAAATATTAGAAAATCTCTGTCTCAACAGTGGGCCTTAGGTTTGTGTTTAAATGACAGCTTTTGTTTTTTTAATAATAATAATAATAATAATTGCTTACACTTATATAGCGCTTTTCTGGACACTCCACTCAAAGCGCTTTACAGGTAATGGGGACTCCCCTCCACCACCACCAATGTGTAGCATCCACCTGGATGATGCGACGGCAGCCATAGTGCGCCAGAACGCTCACCACACATCAGCTATCAGTGGGGAGGAGAGCAGAGAGTAATGTAGCCAATTCATAGAGGGGGAGTATTAGGAGGCCATGATTGGTAAGGGCCAATTGGAAATTTGGCCAGGACACCGGGGTTACACCCCTACTCTTTTCGAGAAGCGCCCTGGGATTTTTAATGACCACAGAGAGTCAGGACCTCGGTTTTACGTCTCATCCGAAGGACGGCGCCTGTTTACAGTATAGTGTCCCCATCACTATACTGGGGCATTAGGACCCACATGGACCACAGGGTGAGCGCCCCCTGCTGGCCCCACTAACACCTCTTCCAGCAGCAACCTTAGTTTTTCCCAGGAGGTCTCCCATCCAGGTACTGACCAGGCTCACACCTGCTTAGCTTAAGTGGGTTGCCAGTTGTGAGTTGCAGGGTGATATGGCTACATTTGCATTTTTGCATTTGTTTCATTCTAATAATATGTATACAGCACTGTCTTATCAGACTATGAAGAGTATCAATTGCTGTTCATAGTTCACATTTTGTGTCATGGCATTCTTCTGGGGGAGAATGCAGAGGTTCGCAGTTTTCTTCCTGATAACCAAGTAGCTGCCTAAGGATTTTTTTTATCAGCGGATCAGTACTGTATCATGCTGCACCCTCAAACAAGCCGTCTCAAGGTGGAGTCTGTTATCAAATGACCTCCCTGAGAACGAGCAGTACATATATACTGTAGAAGGAGAATAGTTTTTTGCCTCAGACCAAATATTCTAAACATAAATTCCTTCAAAAATAGTAGCTGTTCGAAGGAAAACCTACAGTTAAACGCTGGGAATCCAGTCCCCTCTGGTATGACCTGACAGCTGATTATGATTATGGTTACTAGTATCCTACATATGTAATTTGTTTATTAGTATACAGTTTAAATATATACTAATCAGCATAAGATTTAATGTGATTCTAAAACATTTTTTCCATAATGGAACTGTTTGCTTGTGAAAGATGAAAAGTAATTTAGGTTTCTGTGCACAGATAATAACTGACTTCAGGGGAATAAAAATGGAAAACATCTTAAGGCTGTATGTTTTGTAAGAGTTTGATCTCTAGTTGACTGCTGATTAAAAGGAAAGTAGCCAAGCATAATGCAAGCATAGTGTGTGGAAATATAATGTTATTAACTGAGGCTCATGTGGTATATAACAAATCTTTTTAACCTTGGGTTACCCTGAGGTACTTCTTGGTTCAAATGAACATGTTAGGAATAAGAAGATAACTGTGCACTAAAAAATATTAAAGTTCCCAAGTGAAACAGTCTCCAGTTAGCTACTCCTTTCACATTTTTAAGATCTCTACTTGTTAATAGGTTGACACAGTCTTTTTGGCTGTATTTTTGAACTGTATTCGGATTACAGCCACAGTTAATGTAGATAAATGTTTGAAAAAGGGCAAAGACACTGTGGCCATGGTATTGACCTTTGTCTTCTAGATTACAATAGTGCAGATATTTCTCAAGAATAAGAGGTGGTGAAGCTTTCATAAAAATGAGAACAAGAAAATATCAACTTTCTCCCCCTGGAAATCTTTTTTTCAGCGGCATATTTTTCATTTTTTGAAAATTAGAAAATTAAAACGGACAGAGTAGACTCCAAAAACACTTAATTAAAAAAAAAACATTATCAATACATTTTGCCTGCAGTACATCACTTGGCTCCTACAAACAGGATAATGATGAGACCTTTTTCGATGAACGCCATTGTATCTGGGTGGGGTTATGGCATCATTTTTAATGGCAAAAGAAGGAATTTCTCTTCACGTGGTCTGTATATCGGAAGTGGGGCTGGGGACACTCAAACGTACGTCTCTCAGGCCCTTCATGGGTGCCAAATTACTCAACTGCAGCTGTCTATAAAACCACTTAAATGCTGATATTGTGCCCTCTAAAGTGCCGCATTCACTCTGATCTGTTGTTAAGCATTATGTTACTGCGATCATTTGGTTTTTATGATTGATGTTCCTCAGCAACCTGCCTCCTTAAGCTGCCATTAGGGATTTATTTTTTCATGCTGAATTTTAATGTGCCAAAGAACAGGATTCTAATGCATTTCCAAATTAAAGCTGTGCTCCTCATGTTTCTCTTTATCTTATTTCTTAATGAAGAAAGATAATTAACCAAAGCTTCCTGAAACTTGTGTGTTGCAGAACACTGGCTGTTTTACATACACATTTAAAGAATATTTCTTCTTTTTAATATGTGTTTTTCCAGCACCTGTGTGTACCTGTCATTTTTACTTATAGCAGTAACATTAATTTAAAACATTTTAAATGTATAAACACACAAATCCTTGTGTGAAATGTCCAGTTTTCCCCTTTCTGTAGCCCCTTTTTCCAGCCTTATTAGTGTCTCTCCATCCATGTCTTAATATCTGTTGTGTTATGGGCTTGGAGCATTGTCCCATCAGGGCTGACACAGCAGCAGTCACGATTGGAATGGACAGGCAGGTTCTCAGTATTTCTGAATGCTTCATTGTCCTGTTGGGGAAATTTGTTTTGCGGCGTACTCCTAACGTCACAATGACAGCCAAAATTTACCAACAAATAAGGCAGTGCAACAGTGTCACAGCAAGATAAGGGAGTCCATAGTTACGATGCACCGTTTGAAAGAGATACTGCAGCGGCTGGGGAGCACGCCGAAGGAGAGTGATGGGGGCTGTATCTCTCAACAGGACGTGCTGATGGAGCTGCTGGAGCAGTGCGGTGATGGGCTGTGGAAGGCCGAGCGCTACGAGGTGATTGCCGACATCTATAAGCTCATCATCCCCATCTACGAGAAACGCCGGGATTTCGAGGTACTGTAGTTCGAGATTCCCTGGAACACCACTGTACACAGCTGTCCTGAAGATTCTGCTAATGGATGAAGTTCTGAAACTACCCAGCTGTCTGTGGGGTTTGTTTCTTATCACATCTTTGCTCTTTTTCCTATAGAAACTTGCCCACTTGTACGACACGCTACACCGTGCGTACAGTAAGGTGACAGAGGTGATGCACACAGGCAAAAGGCTCCTCGGCACCTTCTTCAGAGTGGCTTTCTTTGGGCAGGTGAGGTTCTGCACATTCAGAAATGCGGAGGTTGCTACATGTGGCCAAGGAGTCTTAGACATTGCTGCGAGTTGAATGAATTGAAAGGTTAGATACACGTCATTTTTTCAGTAAGAGTGTCTGATATTTCCTTGTCCAAAGTTATTCTGATAAGTAATTTAGTGTTGTTCCCCCTCTCTGACTTAAATGTTTTGTATTTCATCTGGGTCTCCCAGTTTCAGCACAGCTCCTTGGCTGACCACTGGACTATTCTGATTTCACCAGCATCACTTTAATAATCAGCTACTTTTGTGAAAGGCTGCCACGAAAATGCTTTTGTGGTTGGTTCTGTAATTGGAGATGTAAGAGCTGATTGGAAAATAAAATGTGTGTATGTTCAGTGATTGTTAATAAGCTTCACATTCTGGAGCATTACAATTCTTTTAAGCATGTAGCCCTCAAAAGCCTCAGCAGTGATTCTTATTTTTATAATCAACCCCATCCTCCCCTCCTCCTGCCGTAAGAAAGATTTTAATAAAATCTTTATGCTTTTTTTTTTCTTTCTTTAAGGCAGCGGTAAGTTCTGCAGTGAGCTTTGGTAACATTTGTTCACAGCCTTTTTAAGTGTGATGTGCTGCTTTTTATTTAAAAAATCTATTTTTTCAGCCATAATGTACTGCTAGACATTCTGGCCATTTTCATTGACTCAACCATTGCAGCTTGCTTCTTTACATTAGCAATGCATGTAGCTAAAAATGCACCATTTGAGTTGGCTTCTCTGCTGTGCTTATTACCCTTTATCCTTTTACCTTTGTCTGTATCTGTTGCCCATAAGCTGTATTTGTTTACTTTTTTGTTTTTAGTCATTATTTACTGCTGTTTCACATTCTGTTAAAAAAAAATCGCAGGCATTAAAACATTTTTCTCAACTTAGCAGTATATGTGGTTGCTGTGACGTCATGTTAGTCTTGTTACAATTATTTTTTTGTGTTGTTAGTTTTTGAAACCACTTATTTTCTCAGAAGTTTTGGACAAGCAGCATACTAGAAATAACTGATTTGTTCTTTATTGTTTTACAACCCTATAGCAGTACCAGTTTACTGACAGTGAGACAGATGCGGAGGTAAATGAATGCTAGAAAAGCCATTCATGCAGTAAATGTTCTGCATTGAAGCTTATGGTTTGATGTGATTTTTGTTAGTTCAGTTGTTGTCCAACACCTGTATTCCATTACCTCCTTGTAGCTCATCCATTTCAACATCTATATTAATCTTTAGATTTTTTCCCAAAGTAACATAATGGACAGACATCTTTTTTTGCATTTAGAACTGCCCATTGTTTTGTTTTACCCATCAGATTTGGGATTGTCAGTTATGCATTTGTCATGTTTTGGCTTGTGACTGTGATCCCATTGACCTCACAGAGGGGCTAATAAGGAAATTATTTATTAAGACATTACAGGCTGCGTAGCCCCATATCAGAGTTTTAGCTCCAATTCGACGAGAGGCACGTCCCTCACCAACTGCTGTAGCCCATGTGGTTATGGGTCGCTATTTTGCTGGGTCCTAAGAGAGTCCCAAGCCCTGATTATATCCACCCTAAACTCAACAAATATCAGACAATTGTGTGCTGTCCTTGGAGAATCCCACAGTTGACTAGTGACATGACTTGGGCTCAATCCCAGAATCACAGGGATCATCCTACCAATTGAGCCACTGAGGAGGCACCAACAGACATTTTTTTTTTAAAGCTGGGTTTTTAAATAACAACTTATTAAGTTGATTGTTGAGCCAACAATAAGAGATGGGAGGGAAACAAGGAATATGTATTTGTATCATGGTTGAAATGGATAATAAAATTTACACTAGCTACCCCAAACCCTAATACATCCAGTTTTTTCCCCCCCAAAGACTCAGAAAATCATTGAGATTTTTTTGGCACCTGTGGTGTTGAAATAACATTTGGTATAAGATTCAGTTAATGGAAAATATCCAAAGACTTAGTTATTGTCTAACTTTTGTTGTCTTAAGTAAGCCTTGTTGGGTATCTTAAGGAAATAGTTTTTGCCAGCTTGTACATTATTTTTATTTTAGGGTCAAGTCAGAATTTCCTCTCAATCGCTCACTCTACTTACCATCCCTTCTTTTCTGGATTGCATGAATTCACCTTTGTAAGCAAGTCGCACAGCGTGCGCTGAGCTTGTCAAACAGACTGGATCACAGGCCTAACATTGTGAAGCCTTTTTGCTGCTATTTTTCCTACTTTGAAGAAGTCACGATAAAAACTAAGGTTTAGATAATATTTGTTGTAAATAATGTAAACCACAAAAAATCGAATGTTGTATTGGAATGCAAACTGTGAGTGAGAGAGAGAACCATAAGAAACTCACAACTTGATTAACTAAATGGGTTTAAATTTATGAAGATGTTAATGAGGATCACTGGTGCCAATAACCCATCCCCATTCATGTGACACTGAAATCTATTGAACGTCATTTTCAGTGGTTTTTAAAACTTCAAAACAATAATACAAAGCTTTGTATTTTTTTCTGTAAACAATTCCTTTAAACTACTTTTGTTTCCCATTTTTTTTTAAATAAGGCAAATCTAATGTCTTATTTGGTGACCATCCTTCAAGCCATTGTAATTAAAGCATTGCAGTGCAGTAGAAAACAAATTGTACATTTTGCATTTTATGGTAGCACATTGTAATGTGTGGTTTTCTTGTTCTCCAGGGATTCTTTGAAGATGAAGATGGCAAAGAGTACATTTATAAGGAACCTAAATTCACTCCCCTCTCAGAGATTTCCCAGAGGCTGCTCAAGCTCTACTCAGACAAGTTTGGCCAAGAGAATGTCAAAATGATTCAAGACTCTGGAAGGGTAAAATATTTTTAAAAAAATGTTACATAGATTTTTTGCTTCTGTCCTGTCAGTTCCTTCTTCTGTCTTCATTTTTAATTTTAATTCCATGGTTGGAAACCTCATGTTACTTAGAATATTTTGATAACTGAAGAATGTGGTTTAAGTACACATCCTGCTCTTATTGACTTATGCCCAGATGATACTGTATCAATTACATGTAGGGTCTAATTAACTAGGAAGGTACAGTGATCCAAGGCAGTACTATGGATTTAAGTGATTTTTACCCCATGGTAAAGCAATACTAGGCAACACTAAAGGCTTTAAGCTCAAGTCAGCAACTGTCATGTTGTTCCCAGAGAGCTGATGTAAGGATATACTGTATATGGATGTCTGGGAGCTGTCAGGATACCTGGAAATGCATTCTTCCCTTTATCTGCGAAATTGATGTCTGGATGCTCAGTTGGGGAAAATAAAAAATAGCCTGTGTCCTTGGTGTATAATGATGTGTTCTTTTAAGTTAAACCTCCATTATGTTGGTTATATTTGTTAGTTCAGTCGACTGGGGCAGGTTTTAAGCCCCACCATATGTCCAAGAATTGCACTTAAATTCTGCACATATTCTTTACCTGCTAAAAGGTTCAGAGTTCACATTTGCTGTTCTTTTTTCATATCAATAGACGTTGTGTAGGTAGAACAGTTTTTATGCTTTCTCCTGTTGAAACAGACTTTTATTAATTAAACAAATGTAATTGTTAATTTAAGGAATTAAGTGTAACTATGAATTTTCCTTAGACTGATTTTCGTTAGCACAACATTGTGCGGATTGCTGTTGTCTGCCAAATTGTTTTAATGAAGAACGCCCTTTATCTGTTTGGAAACGTGGAAAAGCTGTCAGTTTAATTTTAAGGTCCCAACTGTTTTTAAAATTAAGTGTTTTTTTTTTTTTTCACTTTTGTGTAAAAGGCAATCCTTTGATGTGGGGGTTGCAGATTTCTGGAGTGAAAGCTTGGCCAGCGTCTGTCTCGGAAATGACTTTGTTCTCTTTTATTTTTCCATGGCTTGGGTGGGTATCTAGATTAACCCGAAAGATTTGGACTCCAAATATGCATACATCCAGGTCACCCACGTGACTCCATACCTGGATGAGAAAGAGCTAGCGGACAGGAAGACCGACTTTGAAAAGAGCCACAATATCCGCCGCTTTGTCTTTGAGATGCCTTTCACCGTCTCGGGGAAGAAGCAGGGAGGGGTGGATGAGCAGTGCAAACGAAGGACCATCCTTACAAGTAGGTGTGCCGACAGATGGGCCATGAAAACAGTGCTGCTTAACTGGAAGAGGAGGCACAACCTTTCTGCATCTCATTCGGTATAAGTTACCTACTCCAAGATACTTACATTTTATATCACAATGGAGAAATTCAAAGCATCTCGTAAAAAACTAATTTCACAATTGCACAATTAAATTCAACTTGGGCCCCATTTCTTATTGCATTACAATTGTCAAATTAACACTATGCCTGCATACGCATATACTTTCAGATTATTTCCCGTAAATACCTATTTTTATGTATTTATACTTGTTGATGCAAATCTGTAAATATGTATGGAAGGGAAGAGGCCCTGGAATTGGTTGACACAACATCATATTATTTCAGTTTGCATCCGAGTGTCCACAATGCAGTGCAAAGGAGCATACTTAAAATCAAGCTTTTTTGCATTCCTGCTGCCAACAAGAAAGATCCTCTATCACAAAGCACAACAGTTGAAATTGAATTCAATTTTATTTCTGTATAGCACCTTCACAACAAGACATGTGTCACAGAAGGCCATTGCAGTTATTAATTTACACTGACTATACAAACAGTTGAACAATACTGTAAATCAAAAGTAGATTGTATTTGGATGCAAAATTAGTGTATCATAGTGTAACAGTGTAACCATCAGGCATACAGGAGGAGAGAAAAGCGAAAAACCCTATAGCGAGTAAAATATTCAAGGCCCAGTGATTTGCCTCACCTCTAGGTACTAGCTGGGTATAGTGAGATAGTATTTCAGTAGTATCCAATTATACAGGATGACCAACATTTGAGTTGTTATCCAAGAGAACAGTTGGTAACATTACGGAGTTACAGTAACTCCATTTTGTGAAAGAATTCTTAGTCATCACTGTTAGATATGCGTGTTAAATTATTGACCTTTAAAACTCTTATGTTTTCTTCTTGATCTGCTTGGTATTATTGCTTTATTGTTATATGAGCTCTAAAATCCAAAAGTACACTTTATCTTCTTATCTGATTAATACAACCAAAGCTTACTGGCTGTAGTAAGTAAAATAGGTTATTTAATTTTATTTTAACAATGATGCCATAAAACTACTTCATAAGCTCTTCTTTTGAAAAATAGTTTTCACTTAATTTGCAATTGAATACAGTCAAAAACTAAAATATTTCACTTTATGTGGCAAGATTAGAAATAGTGTGTGAAATAAGAATCATAATCACATTATTAATATTTAATAAAGAGTATATAAAAATAAAATACATTTTATGCATTTTTGAGCACCAAGCCCTAATTAATTCTTCCTAAACTCAACAACTATCAGCCATTTGTGTGTTGTCCTTGGAGAATCCCAAAGTCACAGTCGGCTACTGACATGATCCAAGATCACACCCATTGAGCCACTCGGACATTTAAAAAAAGTGTTTTTAAGTTACACTGTGTGTCAACAGTGATAAACAGTTCTGCTCATTCGATCGATTGTTAAAGCTGACAATAAAATATGGGAGGGAGATTGGTTTGGCAAAGCTCTCAGGCACTGAAATATGAAGTGAAAAGCTTCATGTTTCAACCTTGGGCCTTGTTTCATAATTAATCGGAATTGCCAGGTTTAAAGATATTAACTGGGATCCAGACATGGCAAAGGTCACAACTGTAAGGTTAAATGCATGTAAAAAAATACACTCTGAAAATACTGAACACTATTAATAAAGTACAGATTAGTCATTAAGTTGCACAACAAGACATGTTTCAACAGTAAAGTGCTAATACAGTACATGGTTTACATGTTCCATCTGAAAAAAATGCTACCCTTATTATTTAAAATCATGCAAAAGAAAGTTTCTGCTTTGCCTTAGAACTTTCAAATGAGACCCAGTTATTTTGGTTTTGCAACATTTTCCTTTTACATAAAAAAACACTCTAAACCTAGCAAGACAGTCAGTTCTTTCTGAATGGGATCTTATACAGTAAGATTCTTTTGCCCCACGATGTAAGAATTGGAATACTTTGTCTTGCAGCAACACACAGTTTCCCCTATGTGAAGAAGCGGATTGCGGTAATGTACCAGCATCAGACGGACCTCAACCCCATCGAGGTAGCCATCGACGAAATGAGCAAGAAGGTGGCGGAGCTGCGGCAGCTATGCTCGGCCTCAGAGGTGGACATGATCCGGCTGCAGCTCAAACTGCAGGGGAGCGTGAGTGTGCAGGTAAGCTGAAACCTAATCACCCTGCGGGGAGAGTGCATGTGCAGGTACGCTGAGGCCTAATC